TATTGAGAATAATATAAATAAAACACTCATGTATCTTTAAATATGTAACTTATGAATTATTGAAAAACCAGTTTTTTAGCATAAGCTTAGCACGAAGATAGTTTTTTCAATTTAATTACGAGTATTCTTGGAATCACATCCAGAGATCTTAAATCAACTTGTATTTACGTGTTTGCAGATTTTTTGTTCTTTATAAATGGTAATTTGAAAAAGGTTTTACTTGTGTTGTAAGGTTGATTTTTAAACATAATTGAATTTGTTTTGAAAGTACAATAAGTAATTTGATTTTTGTATAAGTTTTTAATAACTAATACTCGTAGTAGTTTGAATAATTTAATCGAGGGAAAAGTTTTTGGTTTGCCTACAATTATTTTTATTACATTTTTTTGGGCAACTGCTAACTTTGAGATTAATAAAGTGTTTCAACTACCCCAAGCAATTATTCCGTATTGGATTAGTCATTGCAATCACTAGTTATTTTATAGTATAAGATAACATATTATCATTTGTAATATTTGTTGCCCAATCACATAAAAAAAGACTCAAAGACTATTACGGAAAATTATTAATATTTCTATTGTGATTGATATGGAATATTATTATAATACTTAGGTAGTTAGTTATATTATTATATTTATAATTATAAATGCATATTTTTTTTGTTCTTTACAGGATTGAGCTTGTACTTTAACTTATCCAAACACACTTTCGGTGAAGTCCAAAAGATATTGTTTCCCAGATATTTTTCGTCAAACAGCGTGCTTAGCGGCATCGTTCTCAGCCAATTCATAAAAATATACGGAACTTTGAACGAATGGAACTTTTACACGAGTTTACAGGTGTGTTAATAAATTCTTCTTATTTGTATAGTTATTGTATTTATTTGATTAATACTAATGGTATTATATGATTGATATCTCTTTATCTAATCTTCTGTTCACGATATTAACTTGTTTCTATATTAGCGGTATAATAGCTGCAATAAAATAAAGTTGATAAATAACTAATATTATACGTTAATGCCATTATAAACACGCTAGTATATTATATATTATTATTTATATATATATTTATATATTTATTGTGTTGTATGGAAATAAATCTCATTTTTATAACTATGAGTACAAATATATATCTTTAGTATCATGTAATATAAAAAGTAAAATTAATTAATAATCTAAAAATTACAAAATGAATAACTTTACATATAGAGACAAAATCATAGCATAACATTATATAACATGTTTATAATAACAGATAATACATAATACGAGTATTATTTATTGTATATTATTATCATTACAAAAAAATAAGCCTGCACCAGCAAAATTACCGACTAACATAAAAATTATTGTAGGAGATAATAGGGAGTAATTTCATTTCCATTTACGTATGAAAAATATATCTTTATTACGAGTATTCTTCTTTTTCTTGTAGTTTTTATAACTCTTTAAAAGTTTTTGCTGCTAAAACAACATTGCACCACCTGTTTCTATCATGCACCAGTTCTATCGATGTTTCATCTCCCATTTCTTTTAGGTCTTCGACTGAATCGATTCACCTTTTCCTAGGTCTTCCCCGAAATTGTTTTCTAAGCGGTTTCCACTCCATTTCTGATTTGACTATATTATTCTCCCCTCTTCTCATAATGTGTCCAAGCCACTGTAGTCTTTGTCCTTTAATCTAGCTGGTCACTGGTTCTATATAAATCATATCATATAATTTCCTACTATATCTTCTTTAAGATTATATCTTTTTAAGAAAAACCTTAAAAATGCAATAAATTATGCATTTAAAGTCTCAAAAAATGTAATATAAAATGCACTTAAAATGGTTTTTAATTTAACTTTTATATTTATTCTGTTATTACTGATATCAGTATATTGTATGCATTAAACTTTATTTGTTTAATAAAACAAATTATAATACAGTTTGTGTAAAATAAAAAATACGTGTATAAAGATGTTATTTTTATAAAATTTAATTAAAAATACTGGAAATGATCTAAAAATTAAAATATGACTTAAAAATTGACCTTAAAAATTAAAAAAATCTAAAAATGCAAAATAAAAGTTTCATATTTTAATGTATTGTTGCCTTATTAAAATTATGTACTTAGAAAGCTATATTTTATAATCAGTTAAAAAAATTCACTTTTCTAAAAATTAACTGTTCTAATTATAATTTAAAATATATGGCGTAGAAGTAAATTTTTTTAGAAGCCTCCCCTCCAAATTCAACCCTAGATTCGCCTCTGTCTCCTTGTGGTACCTCTGATAATTCAAGAATAGAGTCAGAGAGAAAATTAATATATTTTACTAATTGTGTGTGATTTTATAAAACCGACAAGAACCATGAATGAAAAATACCATAGCTATAAAGACTTTTCACTAAAATACCATGTTGTTTTGGTACAAAAAACTCGATTTTTATTAACAAAGATATTCTTAAACAGAGATTAGGTTTTCCACATAGTTAAAATATAAATTGCATTTAAATTATCAATTATAGGTAATATAATATTATAATACATTAGGTATACATAGTTACTAATGGCTTTTGGCTAACATAAACACGGTAAATAGGAAGGGCTAGAGTCCACTTAGTTGCCCCCGGATACGCTTCTGGTACAATTTGTTAAATTAAAAATAAATGAGCTAATAAGGTAAAAATTACCGGAAATAGTGATTTATTTACATTGACTAATCATTGTATATATATAAATTCTAACAAAGGGAGATCGACATTAAAACCGTCTGCTATCTAATGGTCAATCTCACTGTGTTGGAATTTATTTGTATACAATTATTAGTAAATAAATCGAGATTTATTGCTGATTCGTTTGTATCTTATTATTCGTTTGTTTATCAAGTAATACGGTTATACGGGTATTAATATTGTTTATTAATGAAAGACGAAAGGCACAATAATGAAAATTCTCATCAACTTGAATAAATAATTTAATACTATATAAAAGTGATAATGTAATTTTATTGATTTTGGTGTGTACATATTTTATCCATTATAAGGATTATTAGTGTAAAACTAGGTGGGTAATTCAAAAATGTCATCTAAAAAAAATTAGTTCTTCATAATATTATTCTTCATTATGTACATTATTTAGAATTGTTATTATTACTCAACAAAAACCCTCCGTCGAGTACGTATAAAAAAACTATCTAAGAAAAAAAACTCAATTTAGAAAAGTTGTTATATCAAAAAGGGGTTAAGTAATTTCTTAAATTTATTAATATAGAAATCGTTTATAATTGTTTGTATTTGATGAAGTGCGATAATTTAATTTAGCTTATCGGCTACTAATATTTACGACTACAAATAAAGATACAATGCCTACATGAATAATTACATCCCCATTTTATAATTTATTTATATTACCATATTATCATAATACTATTTAAGTAAATACTATGAATAGCCGCCAAGCTAAGTTAAACTATTTGTATTAAGCTATCGTACATCATCAAATATAAACAATTATAAACAATTTCTATACTAATGAATTTAAGAAATTACTTAACCCCATTTCGATACTACAACTTTTCTAACTTGAGTTTTTACACGTAATTGACCGAGGGTTTTTGTTCAGATATTACTCATTTTTTTATTAAAATTTTGGATATAGTTAACCAATGTTTTTTTTTATCGAGTGAAAAATTTAAAAAACAGCGTTTCAAGTAAAAACTATGTTATAATTTTGCATATTACTCAGGCTGTAATCATCCGATTAACTTGAAATTTACAAAACTATCATCTAATTTACATACTGATCAACTTATGTAAATTTCAAAACAATCAGTCTGTTAATTTAGGCTACATAGTTGAACCATTTGTCGTAAAATTACACAGGTTAATTAATAGGAGTTGGCCGTCGTAATATACTAGTGTTGACGCACGAATTTTTTTTTTACTTAGTTCTGTGCCGTGATCGCGCTGGATTATTGGTTTTTATTTAGATTCAAGGCCTAGCGAGTATTGGTTTAATATTTGTTCTAGATTCTAAGTGGAGCGAAGAAGCTTATGATTTTACAAAGATGTTTATTAATTTTTTTTATTTGTTAACAATTTTTTTATCAGAAAACTTGCTCGGATTTCTAAGTGTAGCACTTTTTCTGAAAAGAAATCGGTGTGGGAAGGTACTTTAAGAAGATCACAAGTCATTTTTCGATATCTAAAGTATTTTTCGTATCAATTGAGAAAAACCAAAAAAGATAAAATGTACGATTTTTTCAAATTAAAGCACATTGATTTCATTATTTTTAATTTTTATGAATAATGTTTTTTACTAAAAATATCGCCCCAATAATAAAATAACAAGAGACTTTTTTTGTTACATATTTAACCATGTTGATATAATAGTAATTAATTTTTTAATTTTCCAAGTTATTTTCATAAAAATTGAGAGAATCCGGAAAAAGACGACAAATGAAAACTGATACATTTACGACATTATGATTTCTTTATTTTAAATTTTTTCGTATAATACAGCCCTCTTTTTTGCACGAGTTAATTTAGAAAATTCTCTTTCGCTAAAAAATCTTGTCACAGAGTAAATAGGACAAGTTTAAATACTGAATATATATATTAATATCTATATAATTCAGACTTCGTTAATAATGTAAAATAATAATGTTATTATTTTTCAGTGACCTATTTTGAACATTAATTGTGTAGTTTTAAAGAACTAAAATTCAATTTACACATATATTCATATTATTAGTTGTTATTTAATTTTTTCCTATGTATTAGGGTGTCCCTTGGCACACCTAGTATATATGTCTTTCCACCAACGATCCCACCTAATTTCTTCTGTTAGGTATTTTGAATTTTTAATTCTATTTTCTTGATTATTATCATCATAATAATATTAACGGTTTTCACTTTTGTCTGAACAGTTTTTGGCGTTGTGCTTATCATTTTTATTGGCACTATCCATCCGGCTGTATTTGGTGCCACCATTGTTGGGGATTATGTCTGCAAAGATGGCCATCGAGAGAGCGGCAGGCGTCGGAACCCGCATAGGCCGGTCCGATATTGGCCGGTTGGCAGATTGCCCGCACTACATAACCATCAATAGGACGTTTCGGTTGATTCATACATGCATGGCCGGCGGCAATGTGGTCACGATAATTTGCACCGTCATCCACCTGATGTATATGATATCGTGTCCAGACACCGCGGTCCGTGGTTAAAGGAATCAACATCGTTGCTTTGACGTAAAATATATAATAATAAATTACGACTGCAGTATACCTCTACCTATAATATGTATATTATAAATTATTATAATTATTTATTAACATTACTGTCCACATGAGATTCCAAAACTATTAAATTATGCAGGTTTGAACCAATTTTCAAAAATATTTTTTTTTTTTTGTTATTATTTCTACGACCAAACCGAGTGAGATCACAATCACATCATTAACGATCCGAACATTATATTTTTAAATATTTTTAAACTGTGGTTTCGGAATTTCCGGTAAAATATAATTAGAATAAGTACTGCTGCAAAATATATTATTTATAATTACTCTTGATATTGTATTATTGTACATTATTGTGAGGACGTAGAAGTGAAATAATATATATGTTTATTATATAACATGTTTATGGTAAATTGCTATACTTATAAGTCATAAAAATAAAAAATATTCTATAAAAATACATGGAATTGTTTATACACCTTATATAATATAATATCTGAAACAAACACGAAAATCTATTTAAGTGTGCCAATTCCTATCATAGTATTTGGGTGGAATTTTAAATATATCAACGCGGGTGCAATAACTGGAGAGGTGGACAATTGACCGACACGCGACACGAAGAAAAACCAAGTCAAAAGAACGAACACAAACGATCGTATTCGAAAAATTGACGTGATACTATCCTGAATATTATTAAATAATACATTCTATAAAATATATTATAATATTATCGTAGTTTATTTTGTATCGGTGGGTATTAATATTAAAAAGTTTTTGAATCAAAAAGTGAGTTTTTCAAAAAATTAAAATTATTTACCTTTAGATAGAGAATTTGTAATAGCTACACCACTCTGACCAACTTCTGGAGCATGATTATGATCATTGTCATATTGTCATGTAGTGATCTCTTTCAATTCATATTGTGGACGTATACCGTCCTTTACGTTATTTAACTTTTTTCAGACACAAATCTAATAATAAAGATCTTTTCTACTTTTGTCTTTCAACATTAGATAACCTTTAACAACAGTTTTTTTTTAGTCTTTCTGTGAATAAATTCGAATACATTTTTCAATTTTTAGCTAGAAAAAAAAAATTAAAACCTCCATAATCATACATTTTTGAAGTTTTGATATTATGGGGATATTATATGTTACATTAAATAACTAAATATTATCATCACTTTGACATGTTTATCATAACTGAAAAGTTATACCTACCTCGTTTCATCCTAGGGTTCGCGAGTTCAAACTCGTGTTTCGACAAAATATTTTTGCACTTATTTTTTTCTTTTACCTAAACAAGGAAAAAACAAATGCATTTTGGGTGTACCTAGAGACTCAGCTATCGCTCGCTCGAACTATTTAAATCGAAAAAAACTCCTCGATTTGTTATGCAAACTTTCCTACCAGAAATCTTGTTCCGATGTATCAATTGTAGCTTATTTTCTGAAAGTAAATTTTATCTCCATAGTAATTTAAGAAGGTCATTTTTTGATTTTCCTAGTAGTTTTTTTAAAAAATGTAAAAAAACCGAAAAAAACAGAGGAAAAACGGGAAAATGTACGTAATGTAGGTATTAGTTGAATAATATTTTGGTCTGTGAATAACTTTTCTACCAGCAATTTTGCTCTGATTTTCAATGATAACATATTTTATGAAAAGAAATCTGCCGAGGAAGGTACTCTAGGGAGGTCATTTTTGATTTTCCCAAGAGTTTTCCCAGAAAAATTGGAAAAATTGCAACGCAGGAAAAATGGGAATTTTGGTACAATAATAAAAAATTGTTATTTAAGATTAAAGTATAAGTTATATGTAATGTTTATTTAATTACTTTACCATAATATGTCATTGTATATTTTTGATAAAGCATCACTATCAACTGAAATGCTCTCAGAATCGTTTTTTCGTTAGCAATGGTTTATCGTTGCTTAAAAATATACTTTAAATTACCTATAACAATGGCTGCACCTGTCTTCATATTCCTAAGATGTCTTTTTTTTTTTTTTGCTTTATATACTATTATTTATTTAATTTGACAGTTGACATATTTTAAAGTATGTAATATGGTTTTTCTAAATTTTAGATGCTTACATATTTACATAAAAAGACACAGGGCGTTATATTGTAATAGGTACTATGAGAAAAGAGTCATAAATATTAGTTAATAAGGATAAATATGCAGTATGTAAAAACTAAAATTTTACAATTTACCTCCCCAGCCATGAATGTCTGAAAACGAATACGTTTGTGTCTTAATTTATCTATTATAGGTTACTATAGACCAGAGTTTGGTAACCTTTTTAATCATTCGGGCCATATTTTTTTCAACTTTTTATTGAGAGCCACAGTAACAAAAAAAAAAAAATTTAACACATGGTACAATATTAATAATTGTATTAATATTAAATTTTGTTATTTTACATGGAAATATGAATATAAAAAAGGATACATTTCTGCGTAGAAAAAAATTACTTTTAGGAAAAAAAAAAAACGACCTAGGATAATGAGGATGTCTGCAGCCACTGTTCAAGATAATTTAATGTATACCTGTAAGCAACAATAAAACATTGCTTACGAGAAAACGATTCTGAGCGGAGTAAAATTGATAGTGATGCTTTGCCAACAATATATATATATGTAATTTTATAGTAAAATAATTAAATAGGTTTTATGTATTTTCTGTAATAATATTTGTTTAATATTGAACCGATTTTCCTAGTTTTCCTATATTTTTCCTGGTTTTTAATATTTACTCGGAAAACTTTTGGGAAAATCGAAAAATAACCTCCTTAAAGTATTCCCTCACGTTGATTTTCTTTCATAAAAGATGCTACCTGTAGAAATCCAAGCAAGTCTTCTGGTAAAAAAGTTGCGCACAGTTAAAAAAAAAATAAATAAATAAACAAACATCATTGTAAAACTATATGCTGCTTCGCTCCATTCAGAATCTAAAATAATATAAAATTGTATACTTATGCGATTTCTGTACCTGCAATAGACTATTTTTTAATTTTTACCAAGGACTTTTAACGTCCAAAATTAACGATATTACGTAACGCAATTATCGGTTCCGTGAGCGTCCGATTATTGTTTTAATGGGTTCTTTTCCCCGTACCCCGCAGTTTCGAGAGAAGCAGCGTGCGTATGTGCGATAAACATAACACCACACCTCATTCTCCGTTTGGAGCTATCGTGATAGTGATCGCGATGGCAAAATATGTGTAATTTTTAGTTTTAAACCGTCAACATTGACGGGTATACCGGGCTAATGAAAAATGCAAAAACGCATAACTTGATCGCGATTGTCGGCGGATCTCATGAAATTGTAGTCCAAACGTCGGGCCACGTGTTAGGAAACCCAGGAGTGGCTTTTATGTAGTGCGTTCTATCGATCCATTTTTAATTCCTCACGTTTTCCGTAATCTTAGTGGATTAGTATGTATTTTTGTGAGTAACTCGCTGTGCTCGCTCGGTCTATTTTAAACGAAAAAAAAACCAGATTCGTTGCACAAATAACCATGTCGGATTGGGAACAGAGATAAAACAAATACATTTTAAATACATCTAGAGATCCAGTGGTAAAATGAAGTTCGAACGAAAATCTATCGAAAACTGAGTGAAATGAAAACCACATGAAAATTGAAATGGACCAATGACAACAAAATATTTAGAAGCCCCTCTGTGGCGTCCTGGGTTTTCTAATACGCCGAGCCGTTGATTGAGTACGTTTTACATAATTTTATCTAATGAATTATAATATTTGTGTTAATGAATTTAGATAATTGTTACTAGTAACTGTTTTATTCAGTTACGAAGTAATTCGTGTACACAGTTTTGCATCTAGTAAAAACAGCAGAAAAATAGCACCCAGTGGGCATCTCTTACACTTCCCTAAGCACGGCCTTGTGTGTACTTACCACGTGTGTTTTGTACATGATTATTTTTTCTCTCGTGATAAAAGTTTTTACATCAAATGATTTTTTTTGCCGTGCTTTTTCTATTAATTATAATAAAAGCTTGATAAAAATATTTTTTATTTTCCACAAAACCAATGTTGTACTTTATATTTTCACATTTTAAATACTTAAACAGCTAAACCCATATACTTTTTCATCTTTATGAGTGTGATAAAAATCCCAGGGCTCCGGTTTGAAAAGCCCTCAGCTCCTACGTTCACGATCGTAAATTTAATAATTCACTACAGTAATAAAAATGGATCGTCGGGACAGAGCTTCTCCGGTTTGAGCACGGGGACTGAGGCGAGAAGTTACAGACAGCTTATTAGAATCTACATATTTTTTTTGATAAGTAATATTTGTATTACAAGAAGTGTAAATACTATTAATTTTTATTTCTAGTTTAAAACATGAAATTTATATTTTGGTTTTATAAACAGTTATTTAATTTCAACAGTTTCAATTTGGGTTTTGAGAACGCTTTTTAGGAAATTTGTCAGTTTTAGTTTAGGTTTTGAGAACATTCTTTTAAAATATTCGGTTTTGGTTATGGTTAGGGTGTTAAGAAATTATAAAACTGCGGTTTTAAACTAATTTTTAAAAACCGATTCTGAGTCCAGAAATGTATTATATATAATTTATTATATAATTAATTTTAGCGTATTTAAGATAAATTTCAAATTTTTAAAATATTCGGGCTTCTACGGTACATATACTTAGTGCCGTAGAAAACCACCGGTGCATTTAACCAGGGCACTTAATCAGCGTTTTCTTAAACTTTTAACTTAACCTAACCTTGGGGATTGTATAAAGAGCCTAAACTAAAAGTTTTGAGGGGACTTTATAGTGACTAAGGAGCCTCTCTAATTGTGTTTATGTTTATAGTGAACCTAGACCAATTTGCACTGGGGCACATAAATACCTAACTACGGCACTGAATATACACAACATAAAGTAGTTTTTTGAAGAGTGAGTAATACTAGATTCAAATAGTCTTATTTTTTCAATAACTTTGATCAATATATTTGTTTAACTCAAAAATTAGACGATGAATTGTATTAACATTATTAATACAAATTTATTAACATTGTTTTTTCTGGATATTCAATGTAATTATATTATAATATGCATTTTACTTGTATGTAATTTAATGATTATATCCACTAATAATATTTTCCTATAAATTTACGCTTACAAATACTTAAAAGATTTTTGTCAAAATTTAGATATATAATATTAGTCTTTGGCAGTTAACCTCATGGTCATCCACTCAATTATTAGTTGTAATTAGTATAATTTAGAGTTAATAGAGCAATAATGTGTGATTATTTTTTTTTCCTAAGTAATACGTTTTATATTGCTGAACAATTTAAATTATTTTTGTGCATTTTAACACGAGAGCTAAAGTCTCTCGGCTGTAGTATGTACCTATGTAGTTAAAAATAATGATTTCACAAGCGTATAGAATATTTTAGTATTATACGATAAAAATGCGTGAACCAGTGTCGTTCATTATAGGTATTTTGGACATTCGAAGAAAAACACGGATGTCATTAGAACACCATTACCCATATCGTGCATTTCTATACATTCGAAATAGTTTTAGAAAGTCACTTTTAATGCGTTTCAGAATATTTAAAAATTAACAATAAACTCGTCGCGCTATTACAGAACACTTACACGTGGCCATTAACTGAGGCCATTAACGTCGTTCACAAATATTTCATTGAATAATTTTAATAGGTAGACCTTATTATTTTCCCGACTAAAATCAATTATTAGGTATTATTATCGTGGTGGGGAACGGTGGCTAAACGCATTACTGAAGAGCTGAAGATATATAAAACCGTACATTTTGCCGTTGGGTTTCATTCGATAATTCTATCTGAATATTGTGTGTTATACCTATGTTTTATGTTATGTGATATTTTTCCGGTTTCGAGTTGTATGCGGTAACGTAGTTAATATTATTTCATATGCAACACTAGTTAAGGTAAGTACTACATAGTTTAAGATAATGTTATAATTCTGAGCAGAGGTTGTTTTGGCGGTTCAAACCTCCTCCAAATTGACTTCCTTAAAAAAATCTTATTTTATTATAAGATAAATAGAATAAATTTTAACCAAATATTTTAAAAAAAAATGTTGATATCTTAATTAATCTTCCAGTATCAACTGCAACAGCATAATGACTATTTTCAAGTTTACGTCTCATAAAATCATACATAAGATCAAATACCTATGAAAACCAACTCACAGGATTATGGCTTCTACTAATCTATAATGACTAGGGCTAGGATTTATATGCAATTGAAATATACAAAAATATACCAAAAAAAAAAAAAAACAATAATTATATATCACATGTTATTAAATTAAAAAAAAAAAAAAATGTTTACAAAGTTCTAAAATTTAAAAAAATACAGTTTACAATATTATTAACGTTATTCAAATGTATTTAAATAAAACACTTACGTGGTGTTTTATTAAATTTTCAAAAATGAAACTTAGTCGACAACACATAACGTAATTTTCGCGTACTTAAATTTTGTTAGTTACCCAGGAGTTTGATTTGGGAAACCTTCATCCAGATTATTTCTATTAAAAGTATTACATAAGATAAACATAGATAAAAAGATAAAAAGTCCTGTATTTTTTTCTAGTACATTTTTTGACTTTTCTTTGACTTATTTAGTAATTGTTCATTTGTTTTCGCAAAGTTTGAATTTGATGTTTTCAACAATCTCTAGACCTTGTTGTTTAATACTGAGGAATTTTCTTATTTTAAAATAGATACACCAACACATCAAAACTGTCAAATACATATTAACTTTTAGACATATACTTTTATCCAAAGTATTAATAAATGATATAATATAAAACTTTCGATAAGATAAGATAAATTAAATTGCTTTTTGGGTATTTTTGTAAATCTATGAAATGCCATGTAACAATATATACAGTTTGTCTGCGGAAACAGGGTCTCCTTTACCACTCATTGCCCTGTAAATATATATATATTTTTTAATACAATTTTTAAAATTAATAAAATCCATAATTTTGTATATATTGAACAAAACAAATATTATTGTATTTTTCAATTATAAAAAGGCAAAAAATGCATGCTTTACAGTATATCGTGTATTCGTGGAAACAGGGCATACTTTACCATTTGCTACCTTATAAATATTTTTCAACTCCGTCTTCGGTACATTAAAACTATACTAATTGATCAAAATTTCCTATGACTTACAATTTGTTCAACTTCTATTTTGTGCATGCGCAATAAATTTCCCCTTTTTGAAATACCAACCCCTATTTTGAATATTATTTTAGGATTTATTGAATTTTTCAAGCAATTTTCATGTATGAACTTGTGTTCTAAATCCAAAATTGGCTAAACTAGAGCTAAGTGTAATTTAAAAAAAATATATATCAAATTTAACTTTTTATAACTGAACTAATTAAAGTATCATACTTCATTAATTACTTCAGCTGATTACTAATAATTTTGAATGTATCACAGTGTTTAGAAGGATAAAATACATTTAGTTTAAAAAAAAATATCAAATTCACTAATTTTTTTTTTAAATTACACTTGGCCCTAACCTCTAAAGCCAATTTTAAATTTAGATTACAAGTTTTTTTATGAGAATTGTTTGAAAAAAATCTTTAAATGATATTCAAAATAGTAGTTGCGCATGAGCATAATACAAGTTAAAAAAATTGTAAGTCGTAGGTCGATAAGTCTAGTTTAATATTCCGAAAATAGAATTGAAAAATATTTACAAGGTAATAAATGATAAAGTTGGGCCCTGTTTCCGTGGATACACAATATACTGTAAAACATGCATTCTTTGCATTTTTGTAATTGAAAAAAGACGTCCTAGAATAATGGAGACGGTTTCAGCCACTTTTATAGGTAATTTAATGTATATCTGTAAGCAACGATAAACCATTGCTAACGAAAAACGATTCTGAGCGCAGTTTAGTTAATAATAATGTTTTATCAACAATATACAAGTCATATTATGGTAAAAAAATTAAATATATATATATATATTTTCTTTAATAATATTTGTTTAATATTATATCGATTTTCCCGTTTTACCTACGTTTTTTCTAGTTTTCCTATGTCTTTTCCCGGATTGTCACATTTGTTAAAGAAACTCTTGGAAAAATCGAAAAATGGCCTACCTAAAGTATCTACCGATCTTAAAAAATGTTTGCACTTTTGTTTATACGTAACAAGTTAATTTCTTTATATGATTTAAACATTTTAAATTTACCCCGAGGCTTACCTTAATCGATTTTTTTCCCTGTTACCTACTCGTCGTGGTTTTGCACAATAAATCGAGAGTTTTTTTGTTGAAAGCAGTCTGAGTGACCATAGCTACATTTGTACCGTAATAACGACGAATTTCAAACTTCTCTAATTTCCTTAATAATGGATTTCGCAAACAAATTCAAACACTTTTAAAATCAATTCCATTCATTGTGAATTAGGAAAAAATTTAAAATGCAAAATCGAACACAAAACTAGTAAATACTTATATAATATATATGTAAAAATAACACATATATATCCTATTATTTTAGGAATTGCGTACATAGTGAAATAAATTAGAATTAACAACATTGGAGGTTGGATAATTAGACAGACAAGCATAAAAAAATAAAATATGACATCACATTATGGTAGCTATAGATTTTTAAAAATTAAATAAACATAAAGGTTATACGATGACTGGAATAGGTGTATTAGGTACTTATTCCTATGTTTACCGAGTTATTGCATAATATACGCTATGGCGTTAGAAAATCAGAAATAAAATATTAAAATGGCAACGTAAGGACTAGGGGTGCCTTCATAGCTTACCAACCTACACAGTTTAACCATGTGTTTATTATATAGTAGTTAACCAGTTGTAAATTATCAATTTTTATTTTAATACTTTCCCTATACCACTTATACCAGATAGTTGAGTTCAATCCTAGTCGGACCGTGTGTTCACCACGGTTTAATGATAATGGTTCAACTATTTTAAATTGTATCAATTATGGTGAACAAATTGTAAATTATCACGTTTCACGTTGAGCTGTGAAGGTGCCTTAAGGGTGCAGCCATGAATATAAGAATTGATTAGGTGTATTAAATACATTTTGCTAGCAACTTTCTAGACGGTGATAAGGAGTTCGATAATGTTTTGAATAAAAAGAGGAACTTCGATTCGATTATAATTCAACTATCGCGTACTTACGTAATTCAGTTGCTACATATTACAATTACACAATTATACGATTAATATACAATATTAAAAATAATTTTAAAATTTTTTTAAAGTTATTAGCATAAGGATAACATTGAATGACACTCTGTGTAATATTTTTAAATGTGATTTTTTTGTATAATACGTAAAATTATTACAGATAAAGTTTATTCAAGTAGTACACAATGAGTTGCATTGCAACGATCACTGCATTCGGATTGTCGGTTTATGTGATAGTCGTGCAATTATTGCTATCACCGTACTCCAAAGCACAAGATAGAGGATTCAGTCATATGCGTAAGTATTTTTATTCTATTTTTTATAATATTTATTTTAAAAAATTACCTCCTAAATAGAAGTTTCATTTACTGTGTTGGTTATATATTATGGATTGATTTTGCAGACGATCCAGACTGGCAAAATTTTTCGTATTACAAAATAATTGACTACGAATTCGACTGGGCTATAGAATATGGTACCCAGCAAGTGGACATGTTCGCCCGTATGGAATCCTCATTAACAGATAATAATATCAAAGTACAAAACGGAACTTCCGCATATGGGCAATATCTCGAATATATGCCGAATCACGACAGCCACATAGAAGCTCGCGACGCTGAAATACTTCTTAAAGTATCGCAACAAATCAGAAATATGTATTGTTCGAGGTTTGTCCTTAATGTTTGATAAAATATTAAATACTTATTAATAATAGTAAAAATAATTTCATTTAGTAAAACAATATAAAATTATACACTTATAAATAAAAAAAAAATATATATAAGTATAGTTCAGTAGAATATGAAGAGTAATAAAAAAGAAAAAAGAAAAAAATATATTAAAACACTATAAATCTGAAAAGATAATTTAAACAAAGAATATACCTAATCATAATTTTTAGATAATTTAACGTTCTTATAAAAAATCTATAGTTGTGAAATCTAATATTTTAAAAAATGATTTAAATATACATTTTTAAAATTATTAATATTAATAGTAAGTAGTCTGCATATTTGAGTAGCTGCAGATAAGTTCAAGTTGTTTTATTTAAAAAATGGTATATAAATATTGATATTTTCTTTGAAGCGGGTATTATATGAGTGATTCACTCTAGGTTAATTGTGCTTAAACCTGTAAAAACTTAACAGAGTTATTGCTATAATACATAGGTTTCAATAACAAAATATTAACTAATCTAAGAATTGTGATTTTTAGTCGATAAGTATGTGAATCATATGATTGACCCCAGATACAAATGCTAATACTAACAATTTTACTAAGGATAAAAATAGTAAGCGTTGTATGTAAACATTAAAAATTAAACTGACATCATAAAATGTATAAAAACAATTTCTAACAGTTATAGTTAAATTATTTGTATGAGTATCCCACTTTTACTGTTAATGGTTATGCCTAAGGATCTTATAAAGTTTACCTGTTCTAATATTATAGTTATTACAGTTCCATTACATTTTATTGAGTGAATATATATCTTATTATATAAATTTAGATCAGGAGTACGATTAAAAAATATATATTTTGATTTATTTAGATATAATTCTAATCGATTGTTGTTAAACTAATCTTCTATATTTTTAGATTCTGAGTTTAGAAAATAATGTATTGGTTTTGCAAAGAAGTTTATTTTTTTTAAACGTAGGACATTTTTTCTGGGTGGTACTTTTTTTGAAATTCTTGTTAATATTTGAGATAATGAAGAAAACCCGGTGCTTTAAGTTAGAAAGATTGAAAGATTAAAAATAAGGTTATCATTGGCAACCGTTTTTTATTTATTTGTTGTTATTATTATTTTAATATTTTAAAAAAAATAATTGTTGTCATGTAAACACATATTGTTGTGATCATTTTACCATAATACGATATAATATATATTGTATATTATTGTATATATATATTATAAAAAACAACGCTATTGACTGAACTCTGCTCAAAATCGTATTTTGTTAGCAATGGTTTATCGTTGCTTACAGATATACCTTAAATTCCCGTTTATATCTTACCTTCCCAACTTTCCACTTACAACAAAGGATACAATCACGTGTGAAGTATGTCCGTCATTATTTATAAAACTATTCACATTGGAGTGCATCGAATCAATGTTTTCTCGGATAAAAAAATTACGGTAACATAAATGTAACTATTAATTTTAGAATTAACGTTCAAGTTTAATACGCCATTTATATAAATAATAATAACAACTATTGCATTCGGTAACTAAACGGGTGGTTTTTTTACGACAAATCTTACGTTGAGTGTTAAGTATATCGTCTTTTTTGAATGAAATGTTGTCTAGTTGATGCATGGGGTCACTTTTTGTTTTAAAAATCGTTTTTTGATTTTTAATTTTTTTTTTTTTTAGATTCGATTTCAGTGAGAGAATGTGTGCTTATTACCTGATGAGCGTAAAATTGCCTCAAAAACCTTACGGCGAGAAATGCGCGTCGATTTATTATAGTCAAGTGACTGATACGTACTGCCATTCGAATGAATATCGTAGCCCGAACGGACATTGCAACAACTTATTGTTCAAGTCAAGGGGACAAGCAAATACGCCATACAAACGTTTAATGTTCCCATCTTATGGAGACGGTAAGGTTTTACATAGAAATTATAATTCCAATTGTATAACGTGAAGATTCTTTAAAATTTGATTACGTATTATAAATAATAGTATGTACCCTTACTCATCAGGTATTAGTACGATTAAAGAGCTGCCCAGCGCCAGGTTGTTGAGCCATGCTTTTGTGACGCGCAAATGTGGTCTCCAAGAAGAGAAATCAATGACAATGGCGATATGGGCCGCTTTCATCGGACATGATATGTCTCACACAGCCTTGTCTACCAAGGGTAAGATAAACAAATTCCATATTTCATCTAGAAGTGAGAGAGAGAAATATACTCAGATTTTAGCAATTTGATTTGGTTAAACAATTTTATCCATAGAGGCCTACCGAATAAAAATTTTGTAGAGAGCTCACAAAAATTAAATGTCTATAAATAGGTCAAAAATTGCTCCAATGTATTTAAAATTTAACTACGTTTAAAAAAAGCAAATATAAGTTTTCGGTCAAAATTTCGTCTCTACGAATATTTTTAACCAAACTATAAAAAAAAAATTAAATTATTTTCGTACATTTTTCCGTTATTTCTAGTATTTTTTGATTTTCCTCAATTATTAAAAAGACTAAAAAAAAAAAATCTGCTTTATATTGGAGTAAAATTTTGTGTGAAAACATGAGCCCTAAAGGTTTAAAATAATGAAATCGTTGCACCATAATTTGAAAAATCGTATTATTCGTCCATTTTGGTTTTCCTAAATGGTATGAAAAATACTTAAGATATAAAAAAAACGACTTTCTTTGTCAGTGACTATATATTAAAAGGAATCAAATCGATATCTCGCCATTTTTCGGTTTGAGAAAATTTCTGATAGAAAATATAATTTGTAAAAATTAAAAACAATGGAATAGCGATATGCCATAAATATTTGCTGTTTCAGCTATAATTTTCCCAATTATTTTGAATGCATCAACTTTAACAAATTTCCTTTTAGAAAAGGCACTTTATTTGATACTTTGGACCGAGATTTTTGGTAAAAAGTTGTGCTCGGTGTGCTCCGAATCTAAAATAATAATAATTTTGTTTTTTAAAAACCATTTCCTGTTATACAGTTAGCACTGAAGATTCTATATTATGTTGCGATGCATATGGAACACAGTTTTATCCTCGGTTTACTCACCCGTTTTGCGCTCCCATCATGATACCAAAAAACGATTCGATTTACTCTGTCCCGCGGTATACGTGCATGAATTATGTGCGATCGAGGGCAACAATGCGGTCAGACTGCACTTTCGGGCCTAGAGAACAGGTAAATATAACCACATTAATGAATCATAAAGTAATATTTACTTATTAGCCAAAAAAAAAAATCTTAAACAGTACCGTAATCAGAAACAAATTGAGGAGGGGTAAGGAAGTGACAAAAATTATTTTTTTTTTAATCACCTTCTTTCAAATATGTTTTTTTTTATATTAGAAATAATGAAATAAAAGGCCAATTAGTCTTCCAAGAATACTTACCTCTCCTTATCAGCTAGTGCTGCCTTAGGATTGGTTGTACTGTACACGATTAAACAGTGTTTAAATTATAATCAACAATGACGGCACTAGGTTTTTCCAGAATCCCAGGCAATGATTTAATATAACTAATGATTGTATATATATTTATAATAATATACAGTGTCTCTCATTAAAACCAGAGCAATCACAGAGCCCTGGATTTATGACTTATTTGTCTTCCCCTAGGCACTAATATACAATTATTAGGACTTTTGTCCTGAGATACAGTGCCTGTCAACTGCTTAACCACTGATTAAACGTCAATTGAGTTAACGGACCAACCAAGGTCTGTTAGTTAATTTGTACGGCATTATCTTTGTCATAACTACCAAAATTGTTTTCAACTATAATTTATTATTTCAAATAGAAATTTAAATGTTGTTTTGTATGAAATAAATATTCTTTTTTTTGTTAATTACATTTTAAGTTTTTTATAAAAATATAACCGTGTCTAAAGTCGAGCGTCTATCTCCTATTGATTATACATTTTCTTATGCGATATCTGATATTGATATATGAATCACCGTATGATATCTGAAATGATGTATTTTAACAAAAACGATAATTTTAAAAACGATTATGATTATTTAGATCAATAATTTGACAACTTAACCATATTGATTGTATTTCTTGAGTGTTTAGACCTCGTGCTAACCATTATACTTTGAGAGACAATGGTTTTTTCGACAAATTTCGATTATTAAAATATACAGTTCGGTTTTAGTTGATTTGATCAGTAATCGTATTTTTTCTTGTACTGATTGATACGATTAGACTAACCTGATCTACCTTCCATTTACGGTATCTGTTTTCATACATTCTATAAAAGACTTGTATTTTTTAACTAAGGAAACTAAAAGGTTTGACTCCGGAGTTGTGAAATTGGCAGAACGCTGATGTTGTTTTTCATAACTAAGTATTTTTAGGGCTAGTTTTATATCTTGTCAAATTTAATTACTTGACTTAAATTAATAAAGTATTTATGGAGAAAATACAGGAGAGTGTGTGTGTTGTCATTCGGTCGTCAATTTTGTATATTATCATTACATATTGAGTATTAAATATAAATTGACTTATGAACTAGGTAATAAAACTAATGTTATCTTATATAATATTATAATGTAGTCATTTTTTTATTTTTTATTTTTTTACTAGCTTCTACAATCCATTTAGGACCTTGGCTGTTTTTATTATTTGATGCCATCTATCCCAATCTAAACTCTTTTCTAATTTTGATCCTGGTGCACATTTTTCGAGGTCTAATTTAACTATGTCTATCCACCTCTGCCTAGGTGGTCCTCTAAGTATTTTCCCATTGATAGTGCCCATCATTATATCTTTTATTATATCAGTGGATCTTCATGCATGTCCCGCCCATTCCAAACGTTTGCTTCTTATAAATGATTTGCTACTGAGCTTTGGGTACATTTGGTAAACTTTTCTATGGGTTCTTATTCTGTAAGTTCAAAATAACCCTTATTAGAGTCTGAAATTCTTAGATTTATCTAATTTTGCATATTATTTGCATTGTTTAAATTAGTTCCCAAATATTTAATTACATGCTGAAATGTGTAATTGCCGACTTTTAGGTCTTGTGCAATTTCAGCTCTTTTATCTATAACCATATACTTAGTCTTAGCTTGGTTAATTTCGAGTCCCATTGGCTTAGCCTACATGATAAGGTCAGCCATTTTAGTAATAATTTCGTCATGTGAGCACACAATCACGATATCATTCGCATAGGCAAGTATCTCCTTATTTCCAAGTAATTCCATTCTTCGATGAACTGGGAAATTTCTTATTACTTTCTCTAGAGCTATGGTGAATAGAGTTGGAGACAGTACATCACCTTGTCTAAGCCCTGTTCCTATTTCAAAACCCTCTGAAATTTTTTTGCTAAATTTAATTTTGTAAATTCTATTAGAATTATATTTTTCACCAGTTGAATTAATTTAGCTGGAACTTCAAATTCTTTTAGAGTGTTCCAAAACTCTTCCCTTGTAACACTAATAAATGTTTGTCTAAAGTTTAAAAAATAAATGTGTAATTCTTCTCCAAATTTGTAATATTTTTTCCTATATTTGTCAAATTCTAAATATGTGATCTATTTTCGATTTACCCTCTTGTGAACCCAGTCTTATAGTTTTCTATTGTGCTATTAGTATATTTCTCTAGTCTTAGTAAGGCAGCAAATAAACAAATTGTATAACACGTGTTAAGGAGCACTATCCCCTTATCATTTTTAATATCCAGTGGGTGTCCTTTTTTTATAAATCGAACATATAATCGATGTTTTCCATTCTTGAGGGATAATTCCGTTTTCTCAACTATTTTTAAAAATTCCGTGTATTTTTGATACTATTACTGGGGTGAATATTTTGATTAGTTTTGCTTTTATATTATCTTCTCCGGCTAGTTAATTACTTTTCAACATTTTTATGTTTTTTATTTCTTCGAGTTTAGGTATGAGTATTTCTGGTTGCACCGTTTAGTACATTGGGTACCATTCTTCCTCTAGAATATTTTTTTTCTCTTGCAATATTCAAAAGTCTATAGACATGTGATTCAAATCTGTTAAAAACTTGTTTCGTCTTTTAACAAGTGCCCATTGTCGTCTTTTACAATCATAACTTCAGTTTAGAAACCATTTTAAATTGATTTACACTTCCTAAAGAAGGTTTTAAGGTTGAGTCTATATTCTTTTATACTTTTGGTGAAATCCTTTTTGGCTTCTCTTTTCTCTCTCCTTATTATCTGATTTGTTCGGTTCCTCTTATATAAATACAAAAAGTAAAGTATAAATAATAAAAAAATGTAATAAACTTGGGTCAATTTTCAGTCATACAAAGAATGAATTCTTTTTTAATATATCTAAAGGTTCAACTTACCAATTATATTACTACCTTTTTCTTGATTTATGGAAGGATTCGGAAACGTAAGTCCAAGAATGGTGACAAGATCAATAAATAAGATATTAGGAAATTGTTTGTAATGAACAACGTCCACTCCCGCATAAAACGACCAAATTATATTATCATGTAATTTTTAATAAAGAAAAAGTTATAAATACTGTATTATCGATATCTTTGCTAGGGGTCCAATGCTTATAAGCTAATATGAAAGGCAGTGAAGAGTAGCGATGCCCCTTGAAGTGAATACAAAATTTTCGTTTGTATTTTTAAATATTTATATGTTTGATTCTTCTAAGGATATCTTCCGACATTCATCATTACTCAATTTGTCTTAATCAAAATAATAATTAATTTTTCAATAGTTTCGTAATATTTTATTGTTATATCTTAATTATAATTAAAAATTAAAAACACTGCCAACTCAATTTAAATTAGATCCAGCATGTTTAATTTCTACAACTTTTTCTAATAAAAATTTTTTATTAGTTCTTATTTTTCATGATTTAATTTTATGTCAGGAGTAGCTGCCTATTTATACCAGATTTTTTATTATATAAGGAACGTATTGAAAACATATTATAATCTCGTTCTTTTTCTAATGCATTTAAATATTTTGGTAATCAACGATCTTTTAACAGATCCATCGTTTAGTTAAATTGTATGTATTTTATTTATGCATTACGTGACAGTTAAATCAAGCCACACATTTTTTGGACGGGTCTGCGTTGTACGGGTCAAGCGCAAAACGAATGAGTGCGTTACGGAACCCAAACTCTGGTCGCGGCCAAATACTGGTACACCAAGTCGATCACGATGTGCAGTACCTATCAGAGTTGTTCCGTGGCCCATGCTCTGCCACAGATACCGAGTGCGCGAGAATTGGGGGTAACGGTGCAAACGTACATCCTATGTTGACGGCCATGTATACCATATGGGTACGAGAGCACAATCGGATTGCTAATGAGTTGTCCTACATCAACGCGCACTGGCGGGACGAGAAGATCTTCCAGGAGACCAGGAAAATCGTGACTGCTCTTATACAGCACATAACGTACAACGAATGGCTGCCGGCCCTAGTCGGCGATGAGCACTTCCTGAACTGGCCGTTGGAGGACCATAAGCAACCGTATGACAGGATCGTGGATCCGGGAGTCAGTAACGCATTCGCTGTTGGCGTACTCCAGCCGATGATCCATTCAATGATGACCGATGTAGTCAAGTATCTATATATATATATTAAAATATTCTCCTAAAATTTCGGATAAGTGAAAATGTCCACGGTAAAAATATAAAAACTATTAAAAAATAAATATATATAACACAATAGGTTTCTTGTATTTTTAGGAAAATTATAATTCATTACGGGGGGGGGAGGGGTTAAATAGTGTAGTTGTTGATTAGTTGATTTTAATCGCAGATTAATTTGGATATTTTTTAATGTTTAAGTTAAAAGTTCTATAGATATTGGTCCATTTCCCAACTTCAAATTTGATTTCAAAACAATATTAATCGTTTTTATCTTGTTAATCAGGTGATTACACTTCAAGTACCCATATTATGCGTAACTAGGTCCCTGAAGTAAGGGTTGGAGGGCTAGAGCTTCAGCGGTCTTTTTTTTCATAATATTTTTGAGCATATCATACTTTTTAATGCATTGAGGATTAACTGGTTTGTTATTGAAGGGCATACATTCGATCTAATTATTTATTTTTTTTGTTGGATTAATTAGTCTACGCATTTGTATAGTATGTTCGTTTACTGTGATTATATGTATTTTTCCAGTGGTGTTTCGAGTTTTCTTTACTAGAGAGGAAAACGCAAAAACCATTTTTTTTTTTGTTTAGTCTAATAGATATATAATATGTCACAATTTCCAAACTCAATATCTCTCGTTGACAAAACCTTAAATAAGTCACAGATGGAAAATTCACAACCATACAGTTCTTTGTATATCTACATCATTAACATTTATGTTTTCAGATTTTATAACGAAAACGGTACGGAAAAGGAATGCATATCGTTGAAGACGTATTACGCAAAATCGCATACAGCGCAAATGAATTACACGGACCTAATTCTCAAAGGAATGACATTGCAAAGGGTGCAAAAAGTCGGGATGTCGTTCACCAAATATGTACGTAATTGTGTATAAAATTATACAAAGAAGAAAAATATGATTTTTAATTTAATTATGAGTACTTTTTATGCATCAGGCACGCATTCACAATTTATTTTATAGGGGAAGGGGAGTTAAATACATTTAAAAACATGTATAATATACTATATTTTTTTTATTATAATAATTAACATTTAAAGTTCTTGTATATTTTAGCACAAAAAGATATTTTTGATGTCATGATAAAAAGTTTCTTCTTGTAACTTACAAGATATGTTACCTACATTATCTAAAGTAAACAAGATACAAAATATAATTTTAACTTCCCCAACCCTATATACACATATACCTACTATTAAGGCGAAGAGGAAAAATTGTAATGTTTTTTTTTATTTTATTTTTTAGATAACTAATTTTTTGTACAGCGATCCTCACAGAAACGCGCTTGGGATGGATGCGTTAGCTTTGGACATACAGCGGGCCCGCGATCATGGTATCCCGAGTTACACGAGGTTTAGACAATTTTGTGGATTCAGTGCAATTAAGAATTGGGACGATTTGGGAAATGCTGTTTCTGATATAGTAAAATATAAAATAAATTATTATAATAATAATAATAAATATTTACGATTCTGTGTACGGTGAAACGTTATTCCAGATAATTTCAATACAGGGTTTTACAAGATCCAGCGATTTCTTCTGAGATTTCTATTTTACATATACGCTGATATTTCAATATTTAATTAGGTTCTTGAGGCAATTTGTAATATTTTTTTTTATTACAGAATTGTTTGAGTGTTAAAAAATTTCATAAGAATAGCATATTTAATAATGGATTTTTTGATTTATTAATTTGCTTATTAAGAAATTACTAACTATATGTCTGTATTAACCTGTATTTTCAAGGCACAATTCTTTCAAATATAAAAATTAGATAATAATATAATGAAATGATAATCCTCCTTAATAATAATCTCGTTTCTATCCGTATTTCTATTCCAATTATTCGTTTCTGTCCATTGATTTTATGCATTTAAAAAGGTATGTACTTCCTTGTCTGTAACAACCAAATTCATTCATAAAATCTACTTTTTTTATTTCAACAGTGTCACCAAAGTAACGTCAAAGTCAACCAAAGAAAATTTAATTTTATTATATTAGAATATCTATACCCAAAACCTTAATCTTATTTTAAATGCCAAATGTGTGAAGTTTCATCAATACCGGATTAGAACTATACATTTTTAAAATGGACTGACATATAGAGTATCCTACAGTGTTATCATTATGCTAATAATATTCTGTCAATATTAATTTTGTTTTACATTTTTTTTTTGAATTGAGTTTTGTGTGAAGGAGAAGACAAATTAAAATTAAATTTTTATTTTCATTCCTAGAATATTAAAAAAAAAATAACATTATTTTATAATTTTTCAAAATTTTAAGATAGCGGTATTGTAAGACATTATTTAAAACATTTTAATGTAATACATTTCGGACCAATAGTTTCTTAGTAATAGCCGTTTTAATTTCTACAGAAAATTGGCATGAAAATAATGAATTTTTAATACAATAATACGTTCGTGATAAGGAATCTCAATTAGCGCAGTAATTCCTTATCGTCTATTGAATATTAATTGTTTTCATGCTAATTTTCCATAAATTAAAACGGCTATTACTAAGAAACTATTGATTGGATATCCTAAAATTTAAATTGTTTAGAATAATATATTACAATATAACTACTTTGATGATTTTAAAAATAAGTTATTTTTTTAGTGATTAAGGAATGAAAATGATAATTTAATTTTTCTCTACAAATGTGTACACAAAATCCGATAGTAAAAAATATGAATATTGGCAGAGATATTAGTATAAGAATAACACTAAAATACCCTCTTTAGGCAGAATTTCAATTTTATATTTTAGATAAACATATCAGCTTAAAATTTAGACTAGATACAATTAATTGCGTATCTATTTTTTACTGACAATTATTCCCTCTTCTTTGGTCTAAATTTCTCATTATTTTAACACTCATGAATCCAGTATTAAAGTGTTATGCATAATAAATATTAACATTTTTAGAAAAATAATCTAAATCTAATCTGGTTTTTTGGAAAGGGAAATTAATTACTTGAAATAAAGAGTTGCAAAACTGTGTTTAACAGTGTTAATATTGGTTTTTTTAAAAATTTAAATAAGACCATTAAACGAAAATATAATATTAAAATGGCTGAATAAACCAAAATACATTTTACTCAAATCCTACTAAATAAAAATTACGTAAAAAAACTCGCAAAATTAAAATATCAATAAATAACTCAAAAATTGCTAAAATGTTCTGAAAGTTTTATCACGTCTAGTAAATGTAAATATAAGTTTTTGTCGACATTTCAAATCACTACAAATACTTTAAATTTAATCAAATGTAAGAAATTTAATTTAAAATAAAGAAAAATATTATTTTCGTAAATTTGCCCGTTCTTCCTACATATTTTTCGGATTTGTGTTGATATAAATCGAAAAAAAATCGTAAAATAAAACACACTCGACCATATTTTATATACCTATACATAGCTCAAAAACAAAAAAAAAAACAATCCAAATTATTAATAATAATACTTCACATCACTGTGACGCTAACGATTTCTCAAGATTATTAATTCGGGTCGAAAACTTATTTTTCACAATCTGAAATAAAAATATAACATGTTAGATAGGCACCTAATATTCATATTATATAGTAGGTACCTTACTAATACCTATACTTAAAACCAATATATTCCATCACCAATATGTTCCTCACTACAATTGAAAAAAAGATAATTCTAACGAAAACTAATAAATAATATTATGTCCTGTCTTGTGTAAATTTCAGAACATCTTGGAAAAATTGAAAAAGTTTTACAATACGTGGGACGATGTCGATCTCATAGTGGGCGCGTTGTTGGAAAAAGAAATGCCACATTCGATGATCGGACCAACCATGGCGTGTATCATCAAGGAGCAGTTCATCAGGACTAAGCGGGGCGATCGGCAGTTTTACGACCACCCATATGTCTTTAAGAAAGGTAACACAATAGTACACGATGTAGAGAAAATAAGGTGACACCACTTGTTCACATTTGTATCACTAATTATTATGGCACCACTAGATAGTGCTACAATTCGCCCGAAGGCCAGTTTGAATGTTATGAATTCATATTGATTTCAACATAAAATAATAATAATTTATGTTTTTTTTGATATTTTTATTTTTATTGCATAATTTTTTCAGTTGTATCGCTCAATAGTTGTTACTTGTTACCAAGTTCTAATATTTAAATTCATTAGTCAATTAGGTAGGTATATAGTAAAATAGTTTTAATTAAGGAAGTATCAAGAGTTATTAAAAATGTTTTATGACTATTTTGATTGTTTTGCTAAAATGTGTTGGTTTTTATTCTTTTCTCTGGCTGCATTATCTGTATCATATGTCAAACACATCCTAAATAATAAATAAAATTATGTTATATTTTAAATTCTGAGTGGAGCGGAGAAGCTTATGATTTAACAATCATATTTATTTTATTATTTTTTTAAATTTTATTTGTGGACAACTTCAGAAGTGTAGCATTTTTCCGAAAAAAAATCTCTCCGAGGTGGTACTTAAGGAGGTCAATTTTTGATTTTCTTATGAATATTTTCAATATATTAAAAATACCGAATTAAAAACGAGAAAATTTAGGAATGTATTGTAAAATATTACGGCCTTCTTTTTTCTCGTAAGAAAACTTTTCTACCAGCAATGTTGCTCCAATTTACGATAATATCACTTTTTCGAAAAAGAAATATGCCTGGGGAGGTACTTTAAGAAGATCATTTTTTGATTTTTTCAGGAATTTTCCTAATACAAACGTGAAATACCAGAAAAAAACGTAGGAAAAACGAGAAAATATGTACAGCATTTACAACAATTACTATTAAAGAAAATATATAAAGCTTATGCAATTATTTAACTATAATATGCCATATACATTGTTGAAAAAGCAACACTATTAACTGAACTCCGCTCAGAATAGTTTTTTCATTAGCAATAGTTAGTAGTTGCTTACAGATAAATATTAAATTCTCTTCTGTATCCTACCTTCACAACTACACTCGTCTCCATTATTCTAGTTATCTTAGGATAGCTTTTTAGTTAATTTGCAATGCACATACAAGGAATTTTATTCAATTCTTAACCGAATTATTCAATACCTAACCGAATATTTGTATTCATTTTTTTTTTATTTTAATAGAATTTAGCAAATAGTATCTTCAAGCTGAAAGGTCCTAGAAATTCAAATTCTTATTTTAAATATTTTTTTTTTTTTTATAAAATTATGTTGAATTAATTGTTTTTTTAAAAAAATAGAAAGACGTCCTAGGATAATAGGAACGGGTGCAGCCACTATTATAGAAGACAATTTAATGTATACCTGTTAGCAACGATAAATCATAGTTTCCGAAAAAACGATTCTGAACGGAGTTTAGTTGATAGTGATGCTTTGTCAACAATATATATGTCATTTTATAGTAAAATAGTTAAATAATCTTTTTATAATTTCTTTAATAATATTTGTTCAATGTTGTACCAATTTTCTCAATTTTCCTACGTTTTTACCGGTTTTCCTATGTTTTATCCCGGTTTTATAGATTTTCTGGGAAAACAATTGAGAAAATCGAAAAATAACTTGTCTTTTATTTTAACTGGCTAGAACTACTAGAACTGAGAATTAATAGAATATATAATACTAATATAAACAAATCAAAGTGTATACGTCTTTTTTGTTTTTAAATACCTTTAAAAAAAAAAAAACCTAATCAAAATTAAACTAATCCCTATATATTGTCACCCTTGGGAGGGTACTTTCTTTTTATGCGTCTCAACTCATAACTTTTTTTCGCGTACAAGCCTACTTGTAATTACTGATTTACAGATTGTTTGTTTTAAAATATAGTTAGTTAGAAAATACAATCATACAAGTTAAGGATTACAATTTCTATTAAGATTCACACTCATAAGGAAACACTTGTAATAAACTTAATGATATTTTGTATACATTGTTACATCCTAGTTGTAAAATTGTCTAATGTATGGAATGGGCAGTTTTAATTCTTTTTTGCATACTTCATAAACTGAATACAACTAGTTCTAAATTATAATTGAAAACATTTTGAATTTTTTTTTTCACAGTTATAATATTTAAGTACCTGACAAAAAATAAATTTAATTAAAAATGTGTATAAAAAAAAAAAAAATTACATATCAATCGTGGTTATCGCGCCCTATCCTTCCAGCATGACGTACAACATACATTCCAATAAAAACTAGTTTTGACTGACTTATTTTAATCTGTAGTTAATTCTAGTTTTAACTTGTCAAAACTAGAATTGACTAAAGGGATTTGTGGAAACTAGTTTTGACGGATTTCGGGTTTTAATTGTAACATATATACTGTCGATTTGAATAAATCATTTGTTGAAGAAGTTATTCAATTTAAAAATGTACTGAATCATTTGACAATAATGATTTATCTATTAATGGACTGTTAAAAAATTATCTAATCCTCCATTAAAATCTACTTTCCTTAATGTTCAAAACATTTTAAGAATATTTGTATGTATGCCTTGTACCAATACTAGTGGTGAACGATCATTTTCAGTGTTTCGTTGAGTTAAAAAATATTTAAGATCCACCTTATCTCAAGATAAGACAGCTTCTCTTTTATTTTTGTCAATAGAAAATGAGATTGGACAAATATTATAAAACAGTTTGTGAGCAAAAAACCAAGAAAAAAAAATATTTTTATTATTATTATGTATTATTATTTATTATTTAAATTGTTTTAAGTATCTATAAATATATAATAATATTTTATTGTTAATATACAAAGATACATTTAGTATTACAAATCAATGCTAAATACATACTCCAAAAATAACTAAAAATATAGGAGTTCATTTGTTAATGAAATATAAAAATTTCACATAAAAAATATTTCAACTTTTGTACTGTTTAAAAAAAAAAAAATTTTAAATGCATTTCTATGTAAATATGTTTAAATTTTACCTTTAGAAAGAGGAATATTGTTGATATTCACAAAAAAAAATGTCCTGTTGGGTAAAGGAAAAGTGGTGGATTCATCTTTAGCAGCTATATCATTTTTAAAGATGAATTAGAATGCGTCTTTTAAAACTGCATAATATAAAATGCGAAAGACCTATAATAATAGTTGTCAACAATGGTTCTTAAAGAATCGTATAGGCTATAGCAAAAAGGAAAAAGGTGAGGAAAAAGATGAAAGCATCCAAGAATTTTAAAATACCTACATATTTTTGTAAACATGAATACACATGACATTTAAAAACTTTTTGACCATAGAATTAAAAAATTAAGCATAATATGTGATTAGAATAATTTTTTTTTGCAATATAAAAAAAAAGGTAAAATAAGTTTTTGATTTTTTTTTTTGGAATTGTGGCCGTTGTATAAAGATTCTGTTGGTAAAATGCCCCTTTGTTTTAAATTTAAATTGTATTTTTCAATACAATTTTTCAATTTTACAATCCAATTTTTTCTAATACCATTATTACCTAGATTCTCTACCTAATTACATTATATTGTTATTATTTTTTAATTGTAGAACAATTAGCTGAAATAAAACGTATGACCTTGGCTAGAGTGTTGTGTGACAACAGCCGCGAATTCACAAGAATACAAATTAACGTGTTCAAAAAATCAACGCAGTTATATCCATGCTACATTACATGGTTAATTACTCCAGAAATGAATCTCCGACTTTGGATGGAACCGGATCCCAAGTAAATTTGGCGATTATAACGATGAATATTCATACCTCTTAAATACCTACTTAACAATATTATTTTAGAATCATTCTTCTTTATTTACCTATTATTAAACGTTTATAATTACTCATATAAGTATACAATGTTATACTAGAACATTTTTTCGTTTTTATAATATTACTGTAAGTTATGCATTATTATTGTAAAATCACTACTATTAATAGTTATACTTGGAAAAATATTTAATTAAAATATATTTTACTACATGATATTACACCATTTTAGCACTTTTTTACTAACACTAATTATAACTAACTAAAACTAATCTTATTTAATGTGGTCATTTAAAAAAAATATTTTAGGTTAAGTTACCTGTTATCTATTGGTTTTAAAATGATGTGTATTTTTTTTATTCTGTCTGTGGACAACTTTTCTACTAGAAAACTTGCTTTAAATTATAATCTGTAGGAGCTTTTCTGAAGGGTAATTTTCTATAGTTAATGCATTGAGGTCATTTTTTGATTTTCCAAGGGTTTTTTCGAAATAATCGATAAAAAACTGAAAAAAAGTATAGGTAAAACGGCAAATATTTATGGCATACCTTGTTATGCTGACACGATGTTTTATACTGTCCAATTCAAAAATAACAAGGGATTGATTTTGTTTTTTTATAAAATTTCGCCATTGACAGTTCAAATCGATTTTTGATATCTAAAATATTTTTAATTAGGAAAAACCAAAAAAGAGACTAAATGTATGATTTTTTAAAATTACGGCACAACGATTTCATTATTCTAAATATTTACGGCTTATGTATTCTACCATAAATATTGTCTCAATAGAAAAATGTCAAGAAACTTTGTTGTTGTATTATTAATCTAGCTGGTGAACAAGAATGTTATTTTTGATTTTCTTTATAGTTTATTTAATAATTTAACGAAACCAAAGAAAAACGTCGAAATAACGGTAAATTTTACGAAAACAATGCTTTTATTATTTTAGTCGGGGCGGGGTAATTATATTCTATGTTAATCGTTCGTACACAATTTAAATGCACTAAAGAGAGGTGAATATATCCTATGGTATTATTAAGTCCGAAATTGAGTATGCTAAAAAGGGTTAAATATATCATATATTATTCTTCCTTTCCCAGTAAATATATGGGAATTTGAAAATAGCTATTTTGTAGAGTTTATTTTTCTGAAAATATTGATGTTTCAACTTTTATTTTTATTAACTTCATGATATTTTAAAATTATTACGAAAACTATTTTAACTTTCAAAAAATAACTTTTTCCATCAGTGGTTAGATATCCATAAGTCATAGGAATAAATTCGGTCCCTTCATTCTTTGATATTTTGGAACAAGATTTCTTGTAGGAAATATCGGTATTTTATTATTTTTTACTGGAGTTGTTTTTTTTTTTTTTAAATCATCGTGCATTTCCCATTGTCAATTGCCTCATTTTATTTATGCCAATTTATGTCCCACCGTGTCTCGCAAACGTCTCTGGCCCATTTATAAACATCCTTGAGTTCATAATTGTTTCCATATTTCTGAACTATGGTATATCACCTTATATTTTATCTGAACCAACATTAGTCGTTAAAAAAGAACTTCAAAATGTTCAAAAAATTAAACGTAGTAGAGTGGTTTTAGTCTCATCTTTAATGATTCAACTTTAGGAGACATTTAAACCCCTCTATCTTTACTGCTCTTTTAAATATTTTTAATCGATATTTTAGGCTTTTTTGACATTTTTAAATGCTTTTTATAGATTTTAAGTGCATATAAATCCGTTCCCTAATGATTAGATGCAGTCATTGTGAACCGTTTTACTTATGAGCATTTATATTAATATTTATTATTAAATACACTTTTTCTGAATTATTGTTTTATTTATTAGTTACTTTATTACTTAGGTACGTAAATGTCAGTTTTGCACACTCTGCATTTTAGCAAAATTACATCTATGATATTATTTCTTTATAAAATAATCCAAAAAAATAAGGTCAATTGATACTAAAAGAAATCGAAGAGGAAAATAAGAAAAATGTAAATATAAAAGATGTTCAGAAAGTTATTAGTGAAAGTTTTTGGTAAGTATCTATATACTACAAATAATTAATAAGTTTAGTATCTAACTGAGCAACTCAAAGTAAATAGGCGTGCGCAGATCATAATTGCTGAGAGTACAAATACAAAAATAGATTCAACATTTTAGTATATTACCTAGCCATATAACAAGTCAAGCCAGGACTTATAAGTATAATAATTTAAATTCTTTTTAAAGTTAATGTTTCACTTATAATTCAAGACAACGCGTACCCGGTAACATAGACTTAAATTCATCAATTATGTCTCTTATTAATTGATTTAAGAAGCCAATTTTTGTTTCATAGAAATCATCATGGAATCTAATCTGTTCTGCTTCATTTGACTCCTTAATTTAGGTTTTACTAAACTAAGTTTTAAAAAAGCTCTCTCACATGAGCATATTGTAATAGAGATTGTTGCAATTTTGCTCCAATTTTTAATTAAAGCACATTTCCCGAAAAGAAATGTGGTTGGAATGGTATTTGAAGAAAAACATTTTTTTATATTACCAAAAGTTTTCTTAGTTATTGGAAAAAAAAACTATAGAATTTATAGGGAAGTTTACGGCATTGTCGGTTTTATTATTTTCAATTTTGGCTCTCCACCTCCCCTAACCACTTGACCAAAATGATGGACCCAACACAGAAACTGCTGCCGCCGCTACTCACTGAGGAACAGCTATACCGAACGTACGGTAATGCGACGACACATATATCGACGTCATACTGCATGCGTCCCTGGTACACGCAAAATCATTTTTCGGCCTGCTCGGCTATCCTTTCCGACTCTTCATTTTTGCCGCTTGTAGACAAAACTGAATCTTACGGTTTCTGTTTTCTAAAATAAATATTGATCAAATCGAAACAAGCAAAAGACCTTTCTTGTTGTATTTTGTATCTAGTTGGTTAATAAAAAAGTCGCTCTTTAACATGAAAGGTAGTTTTCTAAATAATTGAAAAAGACTGGGAAAAAATGTAAAAAGAACGATTTAATAGTATTGTGTTACAGCGTAAATTATCACTTGCTTTCCTCCCGAGATAACGATTATCGTTTTGTATTCGAAGTCTATTAAAATTAACAAATCATTCATTCATATTTGACGTCCGTTATGCATTGATCTACAAATATTAATTTAAGAAAATGCCAAAACAACGATCTAAAAAAAATCAGTTTATTAATATTATTTTAATAATGTTCTTAATTTTGTAAAGTATTATTTAATAAATTTGTTTTGCATATAAGTATATATTATTTTGACATTAAAATAATATATTGATATAAAAACAAATTATTGTATATTTTACAAATATTACAAGCGTATATTCCAAACGACTTTATAACATAACCGTGCAATTTTTCAGAGAATATAAATCCAAAAGGGCCATCCAATTCAAACAGTTTTCCTTAGTTTAAATATTAGTAAATATTAAAACGAAAAAATTGACATCACTAAAATTCGTTAGTATTCGACTATAAGTTCGCTAGATACGGCGAATTGTAATATTCCGCGTGACTACATATTCGTACGCCTCGACGGCGGCAATACAGCCGTACACTCCGCGGTGTGTTAATAATGCACCACTACTCCCCTCCAAACAAAACTTAAAAGTGGAATATCTCGTCAACGGTTTGACAGAAATAAAACATTTTAACACTCAAATTTATTTCAACTTGTACTACATCTATTTATGGAAATTGTATTATGTGTCGTCAAATGATAATCAAAAGTGGGTAGTGGTTTTACACTCAAAAATAAGGGTGACAAAGAATAACACAAATACAAAATTCTATAATTAGAGCTAATTGTTTTTTAAATGATTTATAAAACAGATTTCAAATAAAGGTAATACTTTTCAAGATTATTAAATGAGCGATCCAACTTACATGAATCGCTCGGTAAAATACACGGCAATATTTATCCGTTTTTGGTTTAACGTAAAGTACCTGCATGTATTGAACTTATTCTTTTTCGAACGACCTAATCTAATATATTTGAAAGTACCTCAAAGTCTTTCCATCCAAACAAATATATTACACTTCGGTTGAATAATAGTAATAAAAATAACAATTATATTATAATACACCACTGTCATAATTTCTGATTGTCGTATTGTCTGATGCATTATTTTTGTTATAACAGTTCTTGCAATATTGTGTGGTGCTGCTATGAGTTGAGTAAAAGACCATCCAATTCAAAAATTTCTCTATAATTGAAATTTTTTTTACTTATTACGGCGATAAAATATGTCATTAAAATTCGTTTGAATTCAATAATAGGTTCGCTAGATACGGCGATTTGTAATAAAGCGCGTGATACCACAGATTCCTGTGGCTGTGAACTTAAAAGTGGAATATCTCGTCAACGGTTTGACAAAAATAAAAAAATTCAACACTCAAATTTATTTTAAATAATACTACATCTTTTTCTGGATTTTTTAGTATAGGTCGTCAACTGAAAATCAAAAGTGGTTAGTGGTTTTATACTCAAAAAAAAAGAGTAACAAAAAATAACACAAATATAAAATTCTAGAACAGCTTCTTTCTTGAATGTTCTAGAAAACAAAATTCGCAAAATGTTAATACATTTCGAGATAATGAGTTTACCTAAATGGATCACCTGGTACACGGCCGCCGTCGAAGCGTACGAATCTGTGACGTCACGCTGCAATAATACAAATCGCCGTATCCAGCGAACTTATAGTCGAATACAAACGAATTTAAGTGATATCAATTTTTTCGTTGTAATATATACTTACAATTAATATATAAAAAAATGTATTGAATTGGATGGTCATTTAGAGATTTATATTCTCTTAACAATTAAAAGGCTATGCTATAAGATTGATTGAAATATACGCGTGAAATATAAAAATATTAATTAATTGTGCAAAATATGTTTTCATATCAATAATTTCTCTTAGTGTCAAAATATGATTTATTTAAATGCAAAACAAATTTAATATTTTTTTTAAATCGTTGTTTTAGTATTTTATCAAGTTTAAAATTGTAAATCATTGCACGAATGGTCGTCAAATATGAAAGAATGATGTGGTAATTTAAATAGACTTCGAATACAAAACGATACTCGTTATCACAGGATGAAATCAAGTGATAATTTATGTGATAACAAAATACTATTAAATCGTTCTTTTTATGTTTTTTCCCAGTCTTTTTCAATTATCAAGAAAACTAGACGGAATATCAAAAAGCGACTTTTTTGTTAATCAATCATATTTAAAATACAACAAAAAAGGTCTTTTGCGTGTTTTGATTATAACTATATTTATTGTAGAAAACAAAATCTGTGAAAATAATTTTGACTACGGTCGAAAAAGAGCGACAAAATGAAGAGTCGGAAAGGCTAAAGGTTGAAAAATGATTTTGGGTACCAGGGGCGCCTGCGGTATGACGTCGATGTGCCGTCTTCACTTCCACCTCTTACCTGATCATCATAAACTAATACATAACTGTCGCCGTTGCCGACACACACAGACACACCGTAGGACTGCAATACACGGAATTGTGCGGTAACGTATTGTCATCGTACCACATGCGCTCCTGGTACACTGTTTTGTAGTTTTTTGATCGGCTGCTGTTTCTGCAGTTCCTTTTTCCTTTTTACTTCTTTATTGTCTTAAAAGACAATAGTTGTCTTTTTCGACGTTCTAAATTTTTTATAAAGTCATATTTTTTCAATTAAATTGGGTTTAATTTGATAATATTATTTACATTATACTAAGTACCTTATACTCGGTAGGTACCGCTAAAATAAAATGGCATTATATGTACGAGTGTGTTAAAAAATGAATTATATATAATTGTCAACACTGTTAAAAAGTTATTGCATACGCCCGAGTTTCGAGAGGAACTTTTAGTTTATAACGATGCGTATTTTCACACCGTCATTACGTCTTGTCAGGATAGTTTCATACGATAACTTTATATATTTAATATAACGTTGTATAAGTTTAATATATTATAATAGACAATTTTATTTTGTGGTTATTTTTTTTATTTTTAGTTTTTTGAATTTTTAACTTGCAACTATATTATAATAATTTAATATACGGCTAACTGCAGCAGCGTACCAGTGACCTGCGAAAAAAGCCGGTCGGATTAAAACATTTTTGGCGAAACGGTAGAATTTAAATTCCGAATCGAGCGGTTTCTGCATACGGGATAACCTTTAGGTTCGCAGGTTTTTGCGTAGACAAAAATCGGAAAAAAAATAAACATTATAATATTTTGATCTATTGACAATTTTCAACGAAAAAAAAAAAAGAAATAATATTATCGTTGACCCGTAAATATACACGGAGATTTCGAGTAAATTCAATTTTGGTTTTTTTTTTCAGGTATATATAAATATAAATAGATATACACTCTCCTTTCAAATGTTATCAGTCTTTTTTCGTCTGCTATCGTTTATACCCACGCCTCACATGTACATAATTCAATAGGCGTCATTAAGACTTTGTATACCTTGGTTTTCGTACGTCTTGATAAAAGTTCAAATGTATGTTAAAAACAATGGAGTGTGCATGTTTGAAAATTAAAAATATATACATATTTAAGCAGTAGGAATAAATATTAAACATAAGTAGTTTTAAAATGGCAATTCCACAATGTGTGAAAAAAAAACCGAAATCAAATTCACTTTAATTCCTTCCCTAAAGTTGCTAGTTCCTAATATGTTAATTTTATCACCTTGTATACTATATATTATAAACATACATATATATATATATATATATATATATACTTCAATTTGGGGCAATGGAGCCCCACAGGCCACAATAAATTGGTGGGCCATGTTTTCGCATAAATACTGTATTTTAACCTATAAAGAAAAACCTCGAATACGTTTAATAAAATTAATTGACGTTAAAATACTTGTTTGCACCAAGTAATATAACAAATCAATAGATTTGGCAACATAGCAGTAAAACTTAAATAATCGTAAAATAAAATGAAAGGAAATTTAAAAAAAATTAAATCGTCAACTTACGAAGCGAGTATAAAAAAAAAGAGCCAAAAGTATGACTGATGATCCAATTAAAATTATAAGTTCTCAAATATCACTAAGAATAATTTTGACACTTTAGATTACGGGGACGTTAAATTTATTCGTGATAGAACGTACCCTTGTAGAAATATACATAAAAAATTTCGAAAAATATTGTTACAAACAAAAAATATTTTATCATCTAGAGCAGTGCTTCCCAACTGGTGTTCCGCGGAACCCAAGGGTTCCGTAAGCCGGCACCAAGGGTTCCATAAAAAATTTGGGAAATATAAATTATTTAAAAATATTTTTAATTTGAATTATGATTCGAACATAATAGGCAAATAGCTCCTCTTCTCGTTAGGACGTTTCCTTATCTTATGATAAAATATTCGTTATAACGTTAATAATTCCATAACAATATTGAAAGTTGTCGATCCATATATATTTATAGCTTATATTACCAGGTATTAATTTATCTTATCTGCAGTCATTAGCGAGCAGTCGGCCGATGGGTCTCTTCACGTTAATAATGCCATAATAATATTGTTGGTTGTCGATCCATACATATAATTATATTTGATACTAGGTATTCGTTTATCTTCTCTGTAGTCATTAGCGAGCAGTTGGCTAGTGTGTCTCGTCATTACAAAATACTTGTTGTCATTTTTAATTTTAACGTTTGAATTTTAGTGTTCAATTATTACTATCACGAATAACTCTCATTTTTTGTAAAATCTAACATTTCTTGTCGGTGCAGTTTTGGTACCGGTTCCTTCATAATTTTTACTGAAATGGACACATGGCTCAAAACGGGGCGATTATTATCAGTAGAGAAGGCCGGTTTAACATCTACATGTAAAAGTCACACTTCGTCTGTTCCATTGGAAAACTCGACTTCTCACTGTGAAGCTGCTCCTCTCCAAAAAGCTACTATCGAAAATGAAGCATCTCTAACTAAGGAATGCACTCAAATCAATTGTTCAAAAGTTAAAAAAAGACGATATGATGAAGAATATTTATCTTTTGGATTTATTCCCATTGGAATTGACACGTTTCCTGATATGAGGTGCGTAGTTTGTGAGAAAGTTCTCAGTAACAGTTCTTTGGCTCCTGCAAAGCTAAAGCGACATTTGGAATCTAACCATCCAAATCTGAAAGGGAAAAGTCCGGATTTCTTTAGAATGAAGAAAGACATTTCAATTGAAAGTGCGACTTCTCTTACTACCTATGTAAAAGACGAAAATGAGAAAAACACGGAGGCTTCATTTATATTGAGTTATAATATTGCACGTGCCGGAAAACCTCACACCATTGCCGAAAGTTTGATTAAACCTAGTATGATAGAAGTGGTCTCTTGTATTCTTGGAGATGATGCGGGAAAAAAAGTTGCAGCAGTGCAGTGCTCAAACAATACCATTTCTGATCGAATTCATAAAATTTCTGACCACATTGAAGATGAATTTGTTTTCAGATTAATTAACTGTAACCAATTTTCTTTATAAATGGACGAAAGCACCGATGTTTCTGGGTTGTCTATACTAATTGTTTTTGCTAGGTATGTTCATGAGAAAATCATTCAAGAAGGATTGCTTATTTGTGAAAGTTTGGAAACGCATACCAAAAGAGAAGACATTTTTGAAGTGGTAAATAAATACTTTAAAAAAAAAATTTCCTGGCAAAAATGTGTAGACGTATGCACGGATGGTGCTGCTGCAATGGTTGGAAAGATAAAGGTGTAATAACTAGAATTAAAGAGGTAGCTCTAAAATGTAGTAACACCCACTGTGTTTTACATCGCCATGCATTGGTAACCAAGAAACTTTCGACAGACTTTAAATCAGCACTAGATGTCGCTGTTCAGTGCGTGAACTTTATAAAATCACGCCTCTTAAAAACAAGGCTGTTCAAGAAGCTCTGTGAGGAAATGGGGAGTGACCATCAGAATCTTCTTTTACATACAGAAATCAGGTGGTNTTTACATACAAAAATCAGGTGGTTGTCCAGGGGCAAAGTTTTAACAAGACTTTTTGAATTGCGGGATGAAGTAAAAATTTTCCTAAAGGAGCATACAAAAACGAATCTTTATGAATGGTTTCATGATGACAATTTTCTAATAAAGCTAGCATACCTCTCTGATATTTTCAACAAGTTAAACGAAACGAACTTGAGTTTACAAGGAAAAAAAACTTCGATCTTTCAAGCCAATGATAAGATTAAAGCTCTCATTGGAAAGTTGGACTTTTGGGTCGAATGTGTACAAGAAAATGATTTTTCATGTTTCTCCAACCTGAATAAATTCTTATATGAAAATGAAAGCTCAGTGACACCGATAAATGCAGAAAAAAATAAGGCCATTTAATTAGTTTAAAATCTGGATTACTTTCCTACTTTCCAGGATTAAATGAAGATTTTAATAATTTGTGGGTACAAAATCCATTTTTAATTCAGAAAAAGCCAAAAGTACTTTCATCAAATTAATACGAAAGTTTGCTTGAAATAAAATCTTCTTCTGAATTGAAAATTAAGTTCGAGTCACTTGAAATTGAGGAGTTCTGGATTGCCATGGAAAGTGATTACGAACAATTGTCCATAAAAGCTGTCACCATTTTATTGCCATTTCCAACTTCCTACTTGTGTGAAACTGGCTTTTCAGCGTATACAAAGACCAAGAATAAGTTTCAAAATCAACTGAACGCAGCTCCGGACTTACGAATCCAACTCTCGGGAATAACTCTAGATTTAAAAAAGTTATGAAGCAAACTATGCAAAGATTCCAATCTTCTCATTGAATCTATCTTGGAGATAATGACAGACAAATAATAAATGTGTCGGATGTGTCCGACAACCCACTCATTTAAGTATACAAAACATATGTATTTAATGATATTATAGAAAAAATATGGGGGTTCCACAAAACGTTCAAACTCCTACAAAGGTTCCGCGAGTAATAGAAGTTGGGAAACGCTGATCTAGAGGTTTGGCCAAAAAGTTGAATTTTTTACTTTTGATAAAAAATTTGTAGTAATTGAGTTTGGTTAATATTATTTACATTGATGGTATATTTACTTATTGACTATTGTACACAACTTTTCTGCCAAAATTTTACTATTCATTATTACACACCTCTGGTATTTTTTTTTATTTTTTTGTTACTATCAAAATGTGGTGAAGTCTATGAATACATATTCATACATATTAAGCGTTTATGTTCAGAAACTTTGAATTTTCACCTGTTTAAATATATTCTAAATTTAAAAATAGCATTATAAATTCTGCATCTAATATTTGACCAGAAATAAATCTTTCCACTTGCAGATTTCACATGGGGCAATTTAAAAAAAAAAGATTACATTTTAGTATTTATAATCATGAATTAAAGTGAAAAATAGTTATCTTCTTCACATTTTGAGCTCAGACATATTATTAAAATTACAAATAAATATAACTAACATGCATGTACATTAAATTATAACTTTATGTAATAAATGCAATTGTACAATATTGTCGGATATATCCGTATGAAAATGGGACCTTTCGCTGTCATTGTAGTGCGTATAAAATATTAAACTATTAAATTATTTTCTATTGAATGCAGATATACATTTTATTGCAATTGTTTTAATAATAATATAATTGGTTTTAATAATAACGAATTATTTTTATAATGAAAGTCACAGTAGTATCGCCACCTTAAGTAGGAAAAGCCCCCTCAAAATTAAAAAAGCCCACAAGAGAGCGAAAAAAAAATTAAAGACAAATGTATTTATGTAATTAAAAAAAATGAAGGGTATAAAACTTTAAAGTCTAACTATGAAGTCAGTCATGTCAGGTAAATGTTTATTTAGATATAACGTATATTTTATTAAATTGTTTTAAATATACATCAAACTAGTGTAGACGAAGAACTTAGTTTTTCTTTGTACAAACATATTTTAAGTAATAGAAGATTAAATTTTAATGAATATAATTTAGAAATATATCTAATTATCAATTTTAATTTATAAAAGTAACATTTATCTAATATTTTTAAGTAACTTTTGCATTTGTATAGTGCAATTCATTATGTAATTTTTATGTATTTTTTGGTGCGATTATAAAATTTGAATACACAATTTTTGTACGTTTTAAATCCGGTCTTTACTCATCACAATATATTCCGCCAAAGGATCACTAATTTGTTACAGTCTAATACTATTAATATTAAATCAAATAGATATAGATCAAATTTTGACGAAAATCGTAAACTTTACGGCATTTCATATAACATATTTAACCGAACTTCGCTCAAAATCGTATTCTGTCGGCAATGAATCATCGTCTCGAATACAAATAGAAATTAAATAACATTTTATGTGTCCTATATATACCTTACCACCTTCCTATCTACAGACTACAAGATTGGCACATTCGGCAGCAAAACAGGCTCTCTATTCCCAAAACAGTCACGTAATAGTATTTCTTTAAATTCTTTCCGGTTTAAATTCTGCAGGCAATATTTTATCGAGAAAAGTAAATTTATTTTTACCATATAGACTTTTTGTCTTTTAAGTCTTAATAGTTTTCATTGCAAATTAACCAATTATTTTTATTTTTTCATTTTTATATCCGATTAAAAATAAATACGTACGAATGTACTTTAGCCAGTTGTGCTAAAGTTTTTAATGCAAAAAATATTATGACACGCCACGCTAAATCGCACGACGGAATAAAACTTCAATGTGCTCTATGCCCGAAATCGTTCGCGCGTAAAGACAACCTTGCCGAACACGTCAAAATCGTTCATTGTGACGGAAGAGTCGCCACGCCGACTATTTCTCCGCAGGCCGGACCATCTACAGGACCATCGACTTCAACCGTGCCATGGACTACCGACGAAGAAAATGACGAGCTGTTTATGGAAATCGATATGGATAAAGGTAAGATTTCTTTTATTATGGCCCACCACATAGCGAGGGAAAAATTATTATAACGGACAAAGAGTGGGAGAATCATTTCACCTGTGAAAAATGTAATTTAAGTAAAAATAAATTTTCTTTTAAAAATTATAAAGTCGCTGACAACTTGTCGATCAAATTTAGGCAGACGCTGTGCAATACTTGTAATTTGAAATTTATAGGTAACTAAATTTGTCCCGTGCTTCTTCCACAACCTTTCTAATTACGACTAACATTTCGTCACGGAGCTGGGTTATGACGCGCAAACAATTTCCGTCATCCCTAATAGTGAAGAAAAATTTATTTCATTTTCGAAATATGTAAGTAACACCTTCTCCGTACGATTTATTGATACGTGCCGGTTCATGGCGTCGATTCTATTTACTCTCACATTAAACCTCATAACACCAGATTTCGGAAAGTTCAGAGAAACACGGAAAATGATCAACAACGAGGATATACCGCTAGTGACAAGAAAAGGAGTTTACCCGTACGAATATACGGATAGCTGGGGAAAATTGGAAGAAAACACATTACCGAGAAAAGAAGAGTTTTATAGCACGCTGACGGAGACAAACATTGGTGACACAGATTACGAGCACGCAAAGACAGTATGGACGCATTTTGATTGTAGGATGTTGGGAGAATACAGTGACTTATACTTGAAAATTGACGTCATGCTGTTGGTGGACGTGTTCAAAAATTGTGTACATAAATAACATTTTTCACAGGTGAAATGATTCTCCCGCTCTTCGTCCGTTATAATAATTTTTCCCTCGCTATGTGGTGGGCCATAATAAAAGAAATCTTACCTATATCCATATCGATTTCCATAAACAGCTCGTCATTTTCTTCGTCGGTAGTCCATGGCACGGTTGAAGTCGATGGTCCTNTTTCGGGCATAGAGCACATTGAAGTTTTATTCCGTCGTGCGATTTAGCGTGGCGTGTCATAATCATTTTTGCATTAAAAACTTTTCCGCAACCGGCGTAGGTACATTCGTGCGTATTCATTTTTAAACGGAAAAAAAAAGTTGTATTACAAGAATTTAAAAAAATTAACACCAAACGAAAGCGATGAGAAAACTGGAAAAGACGAGTGCGCTGGTTCGTAGTAAAATCACTACCGACGATCGGATCGTTATCGATCCAATACCTACAAAAATCGGTTTAAGTTCGCAGAAAGAATTTGTGCATGATCGAACAGGAAAACCGAGAACAATACATTTTCTCATACAGGTCTTTACAGGCAAGAAACACGTAATGTGTGTGCTGTCGATATATATATGTATACATTTTTTCGTTCTAGAATCTCGGAACGGGACCCGCGGTACGCATAATATAGAGGGTCGAGAGGTCCGTTGTCGCCAACGATTATACTTCGTATAGGTATACGAATATAAAAAAAATTCGTATTATGCAGGATGGAGGGGTGGTGACGACGGGGGTTACGACGACGGTTATATTCCGTATAGGTAACAAACTGCGTACGAGTAATATTATTTTGTTAAATTATAACAATAGAAGGTGTGTGTGTGTGTAATTAATGATCGTATGTTAACCTAATAGTCGATGCATAGTCGTAACAATTATATTATCGTTGACAAAAATTGGTTGCAACGGAGGGTTGATGGGCGGGGGAGAGGAGGTGAGTGCGCGGCCGCCAAATAAAATTGTATAGATATTCGGCAGAGGAAAGATGTGCGGGAGAGAGGACGTTACAGACTCTCGCTATACAGGCCTGTGCAGGTCCGTTGTCTATTATAATTCTTTGTCTATCGATAACCGTTATAAAATAATATTTTAGTATGAGTACTTATACTTACGATATAGACGAAGAGGGTGTACATGATAGTGCGGGGTGATTTAGGTTATTCGACGGTATAGTAATGCGCGCGAAGACACAATTATAAATTAACCTTTGTATCGGCAGTCGCTAATATTCTGAGAAATACGATATGCGTTGACCGCCTAATAGGCGGGCGGGGTATGGTGAGTTCGTTAATAATGATTGCTAATGGATGTTATGAAAAATATTATTTGGAAAAAGTAATAACTTATTAAAATACACACACTATGTACATGCATATTAGATACGGTATACAAATTTTGTGTGGGGCTAAGAGACCAACTCATACAGGATCGTACAGGATCTTACAGACAAGAAACACAATGGCGCTGCTGTCGATATATATGTATACATTATTTTTGTTCTCGGAGAGGGATCGGCTATACGTATATTATAGACGGGGGAAGATATTTGTGTGTGTGTGTGTATATGTAGGTAAGTATATGTATATGTTTATGTGCGTATTTAGGTTTGTGTAGGTATGTGGAGAAGGTCGGCGGGCAGGAAGAGGCGATAGTAATATTTGGTGATAACAATGTGGAAGGGGGCGTGGTCTAAATAGGTCGAGTACGTGGTGCATGTAGGAAAAAAATTGAAAAAAAATCTTTGCTCCATGATCCTGGGATAGAAGCCCTCTTTTCGTACTACTGTCGAATAATACTTCTGTGTTAGACGGTAGGCGGTTTTCACTGAATTTATGTGATTCGCCAATACTACAACTACCATCACTCTCCTGTAATCAGTCGACTAGTAATAATTTGTACATTTTATTTTTTGATATATATATATCTGAATTTTGTACGTTTTGGTCAGATCCCCATCCCGCAATGCCCAAACAGTAATGGCATACATCTGATTAGGTATTCGGTTTTTAACTTATGTAGAAAGCAAAGGATTATTTATAGTATTATTTGTAGAATTTGATGGTTCTTCAGTCCTTATGTCCAGTTCTTATGCCCTGTTAAACTTTAGATAAAAATATCATAATTCAATAATTAAGAGTTAAAGTTTGACCTCAAATATGATACCTATATAATATATATATATAAATGTATATCTAATACCTATTGATTTTGATTTGTATTTAAATATTTCAGCACAAATATGGGGAAAAAAATTGATTTACAAACACCGATTGCCGTTTTGAAAAAAAAATGGATGTACTTCTTGTAAATGGAAACATGTAAAATGTGTTGATATTATATACGCTTCTTACAAAGAGTGTTTTATAAGAATACATTATTAAAAAATCGTTTACTAATTAGACGTGTAAGTCTAAACAATGTACCTAATGTATTATCTAAGTATATAAAACGTTTTAGGTTTATTGTCATTAGGTACCTAATAACTTAACTTAGATGATACTTGTGATCATAGAAAGAGTCCAATTGTTGACAGTAATATAACTAAATTTATTATAAATCTAAGTATAAAAATATAATATGGCATTAATAAAATCAAATCGGGATCAAAATGTTTAAACGAAAAATATTTTTTTATTTTTATGTTTTTTTCACGTAGCTAGGTACGTATACTAATTATAATTTAATATTTGTAATTTTTTTATTTTACAACAGTTATTCAGATATTCAGAGTTTGTTTTTAATGTATAATATGTAATAATATTAATATATTAAATTATAATTATATATTTTTTATCGCATCCAAATGGCGTTCATATATTCTAGGACCTATTTTAATGATTTTTTGAAAATGTTTAATGCATAAAATGCTAATTTTCAAGAAAATAAAATATTCAGCGTTACTAATAACAAACAATTATGTACTATATTATTATCTTAAACCAAAGACTCTTGTATTTATAACACTGGGACGATTTAGTAAGAAAGTAATGTTATAAATTGACTGCCTATAAAAAAAAAAATATTACTTTCAATAATAGAGAATGATGAACAAGATTCATTATTAAACGGCAAAATTGTATCATCCCTGTTACCTTAACAAAATGAAATATATAATAAACTAATTTTAATTTTAACAGATTAGTTTATATATGTTTTATTAGAAAAAGTGATTTCTTCCTAACTCATTTATTGTGTTTCTTTAGGTAAATAAATAAAAAACAATAAATGGGTATTCAAATGTAAGATTTCTCTTTTTTATTGATAATTAATCATTCTAAAAAAAAAAAAGAAATAAAATAGACAAATAAAGTTTATTCACGCTTAAGTATATACTTAATAAAACATTAAAATTGTATTAATAATTCAAAATATTGAATCATTAACATCATTAATATAATATGAATCATATAAGTAGTAAACCCCTTACATAAAAATTAAAACTTTTAAAAAAAATCTTATAAATATAAAATAGAAATTTAATATAATTTCAAGTATCAATCCTTATAGATATTACTGTTATACTTATTCAGCATAAGAGGGGAGACTGATTTAATATTATATATCTTTTTTTAAAAATAGAAATATACAAAAAAAAGTATCATTAGTTAAGTATTATTACTTTGATATTAAAGAATAATTTATAAAATATTTAACAACTAATTTAAAAACATTATTAAAACAAAAAACAAGTATTAAAACTTAATGATTGGTAATATTTTGTTTAAAACTTTAGTGTCAAATTTCAGTCTTCTTGGCAATTTATACTCAAAATAGTTTACACCAAGCATCAGTTCAGGTTTATGTGCACATTTTTTTTAAAAAATTGCAAAGTTTTTATGATTCATTAGATTTAGAATATTATTATAATTCATTACATTATAAACATGCAACATTATCTCCTTCATCATCGCCTTCACTTTTTAATTCTTTGGCAATTTTTTATGATTGTTTGTCCTTCTTAAGTTCTTTAATTAACGAACTTTTGGTAAGTACTTGTAAACCTATAGATCTGTATTGATTAGTCTTTCTAGAGCCAGTAAATTTACAGCTACACCATAGGCTGGTATATTTTTTATATTGATTGATTTTACAAAAGCTTTACAGAATATGTGTATTATTTAGTAGAGTCCAAGTTCTGCCTATATTAGTTTTTAATTCTTATTTGTTAAGTACATTTTAAGAACTAAAAATACCAATGTCAAGTGATTAAAAGCAATGTGTTAAGTAAGGCGATAGACAAAGTAAGATTATTCCAGATTTTTTTGCAAGTGTAAAAGCTATCACAGTTTTGTGACATGAATGGCCATTCAAAATTGTTTAAATTGTTGATATTTATAACAGAACCATTTAATAGATAATTTAGTGGTTTGGGTTCACACTTATCCCTAAAAAGAGTAATTTATTAAAAGTTTTGCTCATTATATCCAGGCAACTGAAAATTCTCTAGATGAGGGAATTTTCTTCGGATCTGTCAACACTGACTCTCATACTGTTATAATGTATGTTTATCATTCATTTTTCTTATCAATTTCGAATAACTGTGCCCATCCCTTTAGAAAACACAATAGTTCGTGGCAGAATTGATACGATTGTAGTCATCACGGGTAGTGTACACTAGTATACATCTATGCTTATTATTTATCCAAGTATTTAATCAATAACAAATTATAGCAATTCTCAAGAAAATAAATAATATATACTACTACAGATTGAGTAAGTAATAGTAATAAAACAAAATAATAATATTTATGATATTGTTCAATACGTTTACTTTTAAACTAGTTTGTTGTTAATTGATAAAATTACGTGTTAAAAAAGTTTTTAAGTTTGATCATGAATCCCGACAAAATTGACGAGGCCAAGACTGGAGATAGTAATAAAGTACGAAAGGAAAAAAAATTGTGGGTAAGGTCTATAAGTAGCAGTAATGCAACACCAAAATTAAAGCCTCGAGTGGTGACGATTATGCAACATGATTCGAAAAAGTTGTACACGGCTGCTAGCAAGAAAGAAAATAGAAAAAAATCAGTTCAAGACGCAGTAAAGGAAATTCAGAATTGTAACGAATGTTTCGATTGGCGTTTAGACTTGAGCAAATCGGGCTTAACCAAAGTTCCAATAATAATTAGAGACTCTACACAACTGACTGAAATATATCTGTATGGGAACAAATTAGTCACTTTACCGTCGGAAATCGGGTGTCTGACTGGTTTGCGAACATTAGCGCTGAGTGAAAACTCTCTAATCGATCTACCCGATTCACTTGCCAATCTTACTAGTCTTAGGGTTTTAGACCTGAGACATAATAAACTCACGGAACTACCAGATGTCGTTTTTAAATTGGTTAAACTAACAACACTGTTTCTGCGTTTCAATCGCATACATACTGTAGGTGATGGTATTAGTAAATTGACTAACTTAACAATGCTCAGTTGTCGAGAAAATAAAATCAAAGACATTTCATCTAATATAGGTAAATTGGAATCTTTAGTCACACTCGACGTATCACACAATCATTTGGAACACTTGCCCCAAGAGATTGGCAACTGTAAACAATTGTCTACATTAGATCTTCAACACAACGAACTTGTTGACATTCCTGATACTATTGGTAATCTTACACTTCTTAAGCGTTTAGGTTTACAGTACAACAGGTTAAAGACCCTACCAAGTTCATTGAGTAATTGTCAATTAAATGAATTTAATGTGGAAGGTAACATTATATGCTGTTTACCCAATGGTCTTCTTGCAAATTTTAATTTAAGCAGTGTAACATTAGCTAGAAATTGTTTTAACGCTTATCCAACTGGAGGACCTGCACAATTTATCAAGGTACACACAATTAATTTTGAGCACAACAACATTGATAAAATACCGTATGGAATATTTTCTAAAGCTGAATATTTAACAAAACTTAACATGAAATATAATGCCTTAACATCGTTGCCGTTAGATACAAACTGTTGGACTAAATTAATTGAGTTGAATTTATCTACAAACATGATTAGTAAATTACCTGATAATATACAGTGTATACAAACATTGGAGGTGTTGATTTTATCCAATAATCTATTAAAAAGACTGCCTGCTGCAATAGGAAATCTTCAAAAACTTAGAGTACTAGATCTCGAAGAAAACGAATTAGAATTGTTACCTCAAGAAATCGGTAATTTAAGATCGTTGCAAAAATTACTGTTACAAGAAAATCAGTTAAAAGTTCTACCACGTGCTATTGGCCATCTATCTTGTCTTGTTATTCTAAATGCTGCGGAAAATAAACTTGGTGCAATACCTAAAGAAATCGGTACATTAGAAAATTTGGAAGAACTTTACATAAACAGCAACCAAAATCTTCATAATTTACCTTTTGAACTTGCCTTATGTTACAACTTACGGTTGTTAAATATTGAAAATTGTCCATTGAGTCAACTTGGGGATGCAGCTAAATACGGACCATCATTTGTAATAGCATATCTCAAAGCTAACGGCCCATATCGGTTTAATTAAAAAAAGATGGTAACTATTTGATATATTTACTTTAGTATTGAAATAAGTTATAAAAGTTTATTTGTATTTGTTATTTTGTTTAAAAGTGTAATAATTAAGTTGTTTATAATGTGTATTAATATGTATATACATATAAATACACAATAGTATTATTAAATTTTAATTTCAGTTGGCCACTATTTAGTTGAATTTATCATATTCTGTTTATTATTATTAAACCAAGTAGGATAAAAATATCTATAAAGTAGACAGAATACAACTATTACTATCTGGTAGTTAAATTCCAATTAATTGCTGATTAAATATACTAATAAAAAAACATTTTCTGCTAGCATTAATACAAGTTAGCAGAAAAATGGTAATTAATAAATTACAAATTAACACAAACTATTAATAGACAGATTATTTTATATAAAATGTTAAACTAAGGATTCCACTGGTTATACAAAATATATATTTATTTTCTATTTCGTTTTTGATGTTGTTTATAAAATTTTCTAGTTATTGGCTTTTAGATACTTAGTATATTTTTTAACTCTTGAGCACCTCTGAATTATACAATTTTTGTATTTTCCAAGTTTAAAATATTAAATAAAAAACAAGTGGTGTTGTTATTTTTGTTATATACCCTTGTTCTGCTTGCTTTAGAAAAAGGTAGCAGAATATGCAATTTTTTAAAGAAAAAAAAGTAACCGATTTTTCATGAGTACAGTTAATTTTTGTTTAATTAACATTTTATAATGATTGTGTTCTGCTGACTTTGCTCAGATAATTTTAGAAAATAAGAAAAAGTGGATTTTACTAATTATTTGTTAAGAAAAAATTGATTTAAATTAATAATGTACAAGTGTGATTGTATACTTTATTTATACAGAATTTTATCAATTTTTAAACTTAAGTATATTAAACAAAATTGTATTATTATTAACTATTTGGTATTTAAAATTATATAATTAAGTGAATTTCTACGGGGTTTTTTCAGTATTATATTTAATAAATTTTATTACATTTTAATAATTTGCAGTCATTTTGGAAGTAAGATCTAACTCTGTGTGTTGTCACAATTTATTGAAGTATTAAATATACTTATTCAATAAATACATTTTTTTAGGTTTAATTGCAATGTGATATTATTGAACATATTTCTTTTACGAAATTAAATTATTGGACTTTAATAATTAATAATGGATTATTAGTTAAGTACCTACCTAGTTATGAGCTAAAACCATAAATTTAGTTAGAAAAAACCACTATATTGTTCTATAATATTTAAGTTGATGATGATAATGGTTGATGTGATATTTTTATTGTATAAAATACTGCATATTTTATATTTTTTTGCTAAGGTGTATAAAAAATTTTCTTATTGCAATTTTAAATTTGTAATTCTTTTTAATAATAGATACCATATTTCTTATACTATTTACTAGAAATATATATTGTTTATTCATATATTTTTTATTTGTATTCATGCTAATAAATATAAAGTATATTATTAATATTAGTTTTAATTCAAATATTATACAATTTACTATACATGTTTATATATTAATATTCATTATATTTATCAATAACTGCTAAAATTTTTATAAATTGCTTTTAGGGTTATACATATACAATGTATTATTATTTTTATTAGATTCATGATATACCTATGTTTGGACAAATAGTCTTAATTTATTTTAAACTAATTGTCTTATAAAATAGTATTTTTATTATTATGATTTTAATTTTAGAATAAATAATATTTTATTGATTATTAATGAACCTATTAGATTAATCATAGTAATATAAATAGTATAATACCAGTTAAAGTTCTTAAATCTGTATTTTTGTTGCCAGAATTGAACCTTTTATGCTTATACTATTTACACAATTGTGTTAATCATTGTTTGTGCAATAAAATGATTTTTATTTTAAATTCAATACTATGTGAATTGTAAAATAATGTTACCCTATTGTTTTTCAAACATAAATACATGACATAATTAATAGGTACTATATTAACTAAATTTCCATAATAAACACAAATGTAAATATACACTATAGTTAAAATGTCATATTTTAATCACTTTAATAGTATTTCAGATATCTATATATGTTTAGAAGTTTAACTTAAATGTTTCTTTGAATGAGCTTTGAACTCTAACAAGCTTATGGAAAATAATCTGTGCTTTTTAAGAACTATTTCAAGAAAATTGCTTAAATTTGGTTATTTAATAGTACCTAGTGTATAATCTATAATAAAAAAAATATTTCACTGTAACAAAAATGTGTATTTATAGAAATTATTAATTTTGAATATTAATAATTTTAACTTATAATTATAATTATAAGGATTATAGTTTTCATTTTTTAGATTCTGAGAGAACAGAGGAATGTTTTGGTTTTACAATGATGTTTTTTTTTTTTTTAATTTTATTTTTATTTGTTTCTTAAACGATTTTCTCTCCAAATTGAAATCACTTACAAATTTCACACTTTAAAAATCATATCCAATAAAAATTACTACATTAGAAAAATGGGAAATGGTTTAGATTTAATGATAAAATTAATATTTTAGTAACAACATACACAAAAATTACAACTTAAATACCAGCATTCTTTTCAACCTCAAGTTATTAATTTAACTTTCATAATTATCAATACAGCAGAAAACAATTTATTAAATAAAAACAATAAATTAAATACATATCAAATATTAAACTTTCAATCAATTAAAAAAACAATTAATACAATGTGAATCTGTTATAATTTATATATAATTTTAAAATCAAAATCAAACAAGATTTAACTTAATAAACAGCACAAATAGAAACTACAAAAATAAGCTTGATAAAATATTAAAACAAAATAATATAGTTAAATCACAAAACACAATTATTAACAACATAGTGAATAAATTAAAAACAAATAATTCAGAAATATTCCCAGTAGATAAATCTAATGTTATTGTCATTCTTTACACTAATGAAATTCATAAAAAAAGCTTTAGATTTATAAATAATAATAGTATTCAAAAGTTAACATATGGCCCAACTTTATTTACACTAAACAAATTAATAAACTAATAATCAATTTCAAATCAAAAGAAATCATATCTGAAGTCTAAAAGAAAATATTATTAAAACCTGATTACAAAATAGAGGCTCCATAATTACATCCATTCATAAAATTACATAAACAAGATAATCCAATTCAACTTTAATTAACTTTAAAACTTCTCCAGCTTATAACCTTGCTAAATATTTAGACTCTCATAAAAGAGAAGTTAACATGAATACTGATACTTCTCTAAAAAAACACATTTAATTGATAAAATTAATAAGATTAACATTGGGCCAGGTTACAAAATGATTTCTCTTGACATCAAAAATGTATATACATGCATTCCTAAACACAAAACAGTAAATTTTTAAAAAATAAACCTATACATGGTAATAAATTTAATACAAATAAAATACAAGAAACTATTCAATCAATAAATGTAATTATTAATCAAAATTATTTCCAATCTAATAGTAAATTATATTCTCAAAAAGTAAATCATGTATTTACATTATATACTTTTGTTATTATATTTTTAGAACTAAACTAAAACTTAAATTTTAAAAATGTATACACAATAGTAATTAAATATACACATGTATTAAAAAGAATAATAAGCTTATAAAAGCTTTTGGATTCATACTTAAAATTTATTCAAAATTTCTTTACACTAATGAATTCAATACTTAAGATGCCTTATAGTCATATTGAAAAACTTATAGCAGTATGATTACTTGAAAATTGATTTTATACACTATTACTTATTACAGATAAAATAAATAATTTATTTAATTTATACTTTTACACTAAAATTATTGTTAGCAATACATTTAATGAAAATCTGTAAATTTTAATGAGCTTACTAGACTTAAAAATTTAACAAGTCCATTAAAAAATCAAAATCATAATAAAAACACATCATCTATAAAATAAATAACAAAATTAAAAATTTTAAATATTGTTGTACATTAGTAGTTACACATATTTTAATGTTGAGGGGGCAGCACTCTCATGAATTTATTGTTAGGTGCCAGTTTCCTCACATACTTAGGACCTTAGAATGACCTTTTTTTATAGTACACTTTAAATAATTAGTATACAAATAAATATCATTATATTAATGATAACAAAAAACTAAGTACATACTTAAAACACTTTTTTTTTATAGTAGCTTAGTACATTATTTTACATTTTATATTTATACATTATATTAATTTCTTAATATTTACAGATCAATTTAAAATTGTATAAAATTGTAAATAAAAGCTTTAAGTATAAACTATTTCAATGTTAAGTAAATTGCAAGACACCATTCCAAAACTGAAATTTGAATACGAAAAGACCATTGAAAGTATCAAGCTTGGACATGAGTGTCTAAATGGTGTCTATAAAAGAAATATGCATTAAGTCTGAATAGTGCCTGATAAAAAATACTTGACCAGTGTAATATTGTCTATCATATGTACTCAATAATAATAATTAACAAGAACTAGAATTATATTTTTCAAACTTATATAATAATATAATTAATAAAAATAATACATTTATATAACTAAACCATATAATATTTAGTTGTGACACCACCATACATACATCTTTTACATATATACATACTGTTGGCATCAAAAGAAAGGTTAACCACACAATTGTTAAACATATTATTATGATGAATAAAAAGTTTTGAAATTAAGTTAATAATTAACTTAATATTTTTAAGTTCAACATTACAACCTTGATAACATAACTTATTGAATACAAATTATGTTAAATATATATTACAAGGAGTCTTTATAGTATGGATACTGATATATACCTATCATTATAATGGTTACATAATATAACTTAATTTTTTTTATAGCAACTTTAGGGGGCTACATTTGAACTGATCAAACTATAGAATATATTAAAGTATTTTTTTTTTTTTTTTTTATGTTGTAAATTTATAGGATTAT